GAAGTTGGATATGAATTTTCAAGGTTATACTTTACTGTATAGGAGGTTATTATAATTCATATTTCATAAGGTGATCAGTCAATAGGTTGTATTCTCACAGCCCACGGTGATTATGTAACGGTTTAGAGTTCGGATAAAACAGTTGCACCGTTGTCTATTCTGACGTTTCTCGATTTTGTCGGGTATAAAATCATAACAATACTAAAAGAAACAGGCAGAATTATCAGATGGTGTAAGATGATCAGCTGACTACACTCATTAGTGAAGCTTAGATGGCCAGAATAATAAGAATAAGCAACAAGGAACTGTGGCTGGCTGGCTGGCAACGAACCAACCAAGGACCTATCACTCAACGTGTATGCGGAGGTAGAAAGTGGAGATGGACTGGATTGGGCATACACTGAGAAGGCCAACTGGAGACATCATGTGCCAGGCCAGGCTATACCGGTGAGTGGAATCCGAAGGGTAAACGACGAGTTTGGTGTCGGAGGTGAGGGTGACATGGATGAGATCGTGTGAGGAAGAAATGAGAGTTTGTGGGCAGTCGTAGAGAGGGGTTGAAAAGACTGTAGAGAAGAGAGAGCAATAGAGGCGTGCTACTAAAGCCTTATGTTCTACTAGGAACACAAGCGACAGACAATAATAAATAGTAACCGAAGTGCTTAAAGACTACCCTCCTAATGATTATGACATCACTCATCAATTGTAAATCAATAATTACTGTCCTCAAAACTTATGTTAATAATTATTCGAATAGCAGACTACTTACTGAGTAGTAAACAGATAACCATATTCAACACACTAATATGCTGTTAAAATAAACAAACAACGATTGTCCCATCTCCTCTGTAATTCATACATCAGTAAGCCATAGAATTGTAGTGCATCTTTCTGGCACCCAAATGCAACCGGGGCTAAAATTAACAGATTATACTGAATTAACTAAATATTAACTGAATAACGTTCCAGCTTTAATGACTATACATCTGAGCAGGCTTCGATGCCATTTTTAACTCTGTGCTGGTTAACACGCCCATCCTCAGTGTCCTTATTTCAGTCATACTAGCCAGGTAAGTTGTAAACACTTTTCCCCTAATAATCACTATCAAATTTATTCTAATTAAATGCATATTGCTCTTTCAAATATATCCATGATTACTAGTCCTTTTTATTTGTGTTTCGTTATCAGTATTTAAACGTCAGGTACGGTACTGAATAAGCAACAAAACCAGTCCCCTACAAATGATGAGCCCAACGGGATCATTCTCTTACTATATCTAGTACTTTATCTAACCTACGGTGATTTATTTTCATTTTTGGCACGAAGGTTACGTTGGTTATTTGGTATTGTAATCTTGCTATTATCCAAGTCGTGCCTTATTATACCAAGTCCAACATGAGTATTTCAGCTGCAAAATCTACTGCCACGGACTCGCACAAATACCCCTACCTTCACTCAACAAGTGACACTATGGCTCACATCACTAAATTGTACGAGAAGGTGTACGGTATGAGGAAAGAAATAGGGTTTAGTAATTCTTTCTACGGTAGCACGTCTCGCTCGTACAGTAGATCTGCCTATCGTACCGATAACAGGCTTTCCAAATCACGGCAAACCCACTCCGGGTTGTGGTGGTGCTAAGGTACACTCGACCTTATACTTTTGAAGTGAAACAGAAGATCAAGTGTGAGTCAGCACGTGACGGCGGCTAACATCACAACAACTGTGGATTTGTCACAGAGGGATAGATTTTTGTGGGGAAAAAATGCATCATGCATATACAATTATTGTGTCAGTAAAAAGATCTTCAGAAGTAGGATCAAATTACTTATTTTCATTGATCCACTGAACCACTGCCCAAAAAAGAAAATACTGATCCTGATCATTCATCAGCATAGATCAAAAACTGAACCTCAAAAATCTCTGGCTAAGTAACCATTGACTTAAAATGTTGATTTCTATTTTGGCTCCCTTTCATCATAAGAATAATTTGAAACTCTTTATGAAGTCAATAAGTTTGCAAGATGAAATATAAGATTTCAATTTTACTGGTTATGATGATCCCCTGGGTGATATTCATTCAAACGAAAAAAACCATGTAGAAAATCGATAAATTTGAACGCGAAACTATTTGACTAGAAGACAAAGAAAAACTTATCATTACTTCGCTAAGAACTCAAAATTCCATTGCTATAGTCTCAGTGAACATGAGATGTTTCGAATTATGTTGTTTGTTGATTACCTTGAAGTAGTCTAGGATATCTTCTACCGCCATTATGATAGGATCATCTCTTGACTGAATATTTTTTTTTGTGTTTCTACATAATTTCCATGATCGCAATAGCAAAGTACTACAACCCATTTTATTACTACATGATTCGTGTGTACTTTGTCATCAACTAGATGGTTCGTTAAACTACTTATGTAATCTCTTATTACTAAAACCTTTCTTCAGGCATATATGTAAGTGAAAGTTCATAACTTGTCAACCTATCAACTGACGTTAAGTAAGTACCAAAATGTATACCCCACCTATTTTGTAATAAGATAATTAGACGCTTTTAGGATGTAAGCAGCTGACTAAAAATCAGTGAAACAAAATGTTACCATATTATTCTGTTCTAATCCCTACCTTTCCTTTCAATACTCAAATGCATAAAAGAGAATGTGTATATGAAATAATAATTTATCCATATGTAACTGATCGCTTATTCAGAACAACTTATGTGCCTCACCAATCGAAAGTTATTACTTTCAAAGTTGCAAGCAGCTTACCGTACAGTAGTAGTAGTAGTAGTAGTAGTAGTAGTAGTAGTAGTAGTAGTAGTAGTAGTAGTAGTAGTAGTAGTAGTAGTAGTAGTAGTAGTATCAATCTAGGATTCGAAGTGATCATTAAAGAATTCCATCACCAAACTACCTAACCAGGATAAACGATGAAAATAGAGTCATATTAGCTTCATTTTCGACGTAAAAATATAACTAAATGATTCTACCAATTTGCAAAAAAATATACAACTACTACTGACAAACTTTTATACCAAAAACTTTTTATACTATACAACAAGATAAGTTTATGAATAAATCATGCATAGTTTCAAGATTGAATGATTGGACTTCTTTATTTTTATTTTCTTTATTCATAAACTTATTCCAATTTCACTTTCTTTATATGCACATATATGATTAGAAAGATAAATAAGACACAATGCAAATTTATTTGACCTTGAAGTTATCATACATTCTTCCTTGTTTAAACTATTTAACATAATTATGCAAATTGAACATTGAATAGAAGCGCGCCTTAATTGATTCGAACAAAGTTGTTTCAAAAAAAGAAGAAAATAATAAAATTTATAAAATATAACAATATATTACATATTTTAATAGGTTAATTTTGTAAGAATTAAATTGAAAGTTTAAATTTGAGCTCAGTACTCTAAAAGTTAGTGTTGTAATCCAACATGCATATCATAAAGCCTGATAGCTGTGAGGACAGTTACTTAACGATAAAATTGCGTGGCGGCTGCTCTATATCGTGAACCAACAGAAGTTGGAAATATGGACCATTGGATTCTGACCCAGTGGGGCTGAATGGTAACGTGCTGGTCATGAAACCGGAAGATCGCGGGGTCCTGGGTGCGCACTTCTGACGAGTCGCATACTACTGGGCTGAAACAGTTGTCCAGTGCTCCTACGTTTTCTTCGTTCCTCCAACTGATGTCAGTCTATGATGAATAACAACTTGGCATATCATAATAACTCAGAAATGTTTCTTGAATTCCTTTCATACTAGGGAAGTGTAAATAGCTAGACTAGCAAGCAAGAATATGAAGTACAACTGGTGGCTGGTTGGATTATGATAGTGGTAAAGTGTTCCCTGAGGATAATCAGCACTTCATGCTGATGTTTACTTTCATATGAGAAGAAGGGATTAAAAAATGTCCACCTGGAAAAAGATAGCATATTTGTCACTACCTTGAGGTATTTCACTTCCAGTGGTATCTGTTTTCATAACGCAAACTCAAAAAATATAATCCGAAATATTAAGTTTTCCAAAGGATCATGTGTAACGATGATATCACTTAGTTACTTCAGTCAAGCGAAACAAATCTAGTTTCATGTTCAAAACCTTCATAAAGAAGAAGAGATGACCATTCTCAGAATGGACAGTCAGTGAATATCAAGTCCTCTCACATTTCATTCATCATTCAAATCCCTGTCCAAATATTCCTACATCTTCTCTACTGTATTTCAGCACTAAAGCCTTTAAAAATGATTCGAGTTCCTAAAGTAGTATACCTGATCTCCTGGAATGGTATTCCAAAGTTCGTCGGCTAACACTAATGAAGCAAACTAACAAATGACGTTAAATATTTAACCTTAGGCACTTGGTACTTGTCACATAAATTCCTTCAGATCTTGTCTTTATGTACTAATGATGGGTAGTGGCCAGCAGTTAAATAGAGGGTAAGCGTTTCGTCCTATCCAGGACTGGTCAGCTAAATGTACCTATCTTCCTATGAGCGATGTTGTTCCTACTAACTCGAGACTAGTCGCCCCAAACATCACATCGCTATCCAGTAGATCATTTAGCCACGATGCGCATAGCTAGTTGTTTGATCCAGTTGATGACGTGGAATAAAAACCTGTAATCTCTAAGTCATACATTCATGTTTCATTTTATGCAACAGTAAAGCTTATATGTGACGATATTGATGAATATCAACCAGTATAGAACTCTAAGTATACCTATTTCAACAGTCATGAGAATACTAATCTTTTCACAATGATTCAACCGTCTGTCACTCCAGTAGGCCTACAGATAGAGTCTATATTGTATCCTAGTATTGTACTACTTTGAATTTTTGTCCTTATTGCAAACTACATGAATAAACTAGAATCAATTCTGAGTAGTAGCTACATGAATCACTCACTGGGTATGAATTTGTATAGCTCCATGAAGTTCATGAAGTCATGGACTCATTTAAACACAAAGATATTTCACTTGAGTAGAACAAATTCGATGTATATATATTTATTTAATAATAAACTAGTAGTCATTTACTGTTGACTATTATCTAATTTGTCAATAGAATAATCGAATCACATGGAATGAAACAATGGCAATATGTTATACTGAGATAATGAGTTTCAAACATTTCTATATGTATAAGTATTCGATAAACCTCGCTGATTGTGTATGAAGTGGTTTGAAGGTGGAGGGTTGGGGTAGGGGAAGAAGCTCCAGAAGCTCGATGATCTTGTTCATTTCTGTGTATACAGTCAAAACTTTATGATATGTATCAGGAGAAGTGGAACTCTAGTAATAATAATAATAATAATAATAGTGACGACTATTTTGAGGAAGGAAAAGGAGTCAAAGAAGAAACTTAGAATTATTCTATATACCATTGACATTTGAATATTCTACTATAGTGAATTGAAAGAAAATATGATGTAGCTATTGACACCCTTAAACATTTGTGTTGGCGCAGAATTGTACTTTTGCGGTGATGATTATACACATTACTGTTTTTGATTCAACCTGGAATATCTGTTAAGTAGAGAAGATATCAAGAATTATATCATAGTTAATCATTATTTTTCATCAAAAAACTTTATTATCAGCTAATTTTTTAATCCTCTAATATATAGAAATTGACAAAATCTTCATGAAGGACTGTAGGTAAGAGAGACCTGACAAAATTATATCAAATAACTAGGTTACTATATGGGAGGGAAGAGATCAACATAGATGAAACCGATGAAAGATAGTGAAGGAATCGATCACTAGTGGTGCCACTTACAACTCATCCAGAAATACCACTAGCAGTGCAGCCATAAAAATATCAGTGAACACATGCACTTCAACAAAAGCAAAAGTGAAGTCCTGAACTCCATAAAGTTGCTGGAAGCCGAAAAAGCAGCGGGATCAGATGGAAGTCCTCTAAAAGCACTAAAGACGGAGGCAGAAAAAACAGTGGAAATACTGACACAAATACAGTAGAAGGTTAGGGAAGAAGGTAAGGTACGTGAAGATTGGAAGGAGGGAAAACTTGTCAAACTCACAAACAAGGCAGACCTAATGCTTTGCAACAACTGACAAGGAATCATGCTGCTGTCCGCCCGAAGCAACCAAAATATCATCCTCGAGAGATTAACTAAGGCACTGGATTCAAAATTACAACCGGAATAGGCTGATTGCATTCAGGAAGAACAAATCGTGTGAGGACCAAACGACAATGCTATGCTACGCATCATCATAGAATGGAGAATAGAATGCCAGACAACTCTCTACCTCATTTCATCGACTTTGAAAACACCTTCGACAGCGTCGACCGAAAAGTAGTTTGGCAGCTGCCTCAACACTACGGTTTCAGTGCCACAAACCTTTATCAATCTCATTCGAAAGGTATATACTATATGATGCTATATGCCAAGTGATCCACAATAGAAAGCTCATTGATGCATTTGAAGTGAAGACAGGAAGGAGTAAGACACGGTTGCCGCCTACTATCACCAATGGTCTTCCTGATTCTGGTTGACTGAACTGGACTGGATCATGCAACAGGCAACTGTGAGTAGCTGTGAGAAGATGAGCATACGTTGGCTGCACCGATGAAAAGATTCTACAAGATTTGCATTTCGCCGATGATCGTTTACATTGAATATCGCACAAACTCGAAGATGTACAGGCGAAAACCAACAAGTTGGTAGAAGAGGCAGGTAGAGAAAACGGAACTTCAGGTGAACGTAGAGAACACAGAGATGATGAAGACATCCAACCAACAACAACAACAACAAGTACCAATCACCATGAACAGAAGAAACCTGAAAAAAGTTATCTCTTCCACCTACCTCTCTACCTAGGCAGTATCGTTTGAACTACAGGCAGCACAGATGAGGATGTCAAAGACAGGATCGTAAAGGTAGCAAGACAGGCCTTCATTCATTAATCTGAAATCAGCGTGGATATCTACTGCACTGCACTGCACTACATTACACTCACCATAAAGTATGAATTACATCCGGATTTGCAACACTAATTCACTCAAGTGAGTCAGTGCTTCAATGTAACGGTTGAGAGAGTTGGCAGCGCGTTACGAAAAGCATTTTCAACAACCAGTAGACATACATCATCAGCACCTGCCTACACTGGATGCTGAAGCTCAGATAGCCAGAATAATAAGAATAAGTAACAAGAAACTCATTATGGCTGGCAATGAACCAAACAAAAACTCATCGCCCAACAAATATGCATAAGACAGTGGAGGTGGATTGTTTTGGAGATATACTGAGAAGATAGGTTGGGGATATCACGTGCCAAGCCAGGCTAGACCGTCAAATGGAACCCAAATGGGAAACGATGAGTTGGGCGTGCGAGCTGAGGGAGATCGTGTATGGACGAAATGAAAGCTTGTGGGCAGTCGTGGAGACAGGTTGGGAAGACTCTAGAGAAAAGAGTGAAATGGCGAAATGTGTTCCACTAGGAACCCAAAAGACAAATAATAATAATTCAGGATATATCAAGTAGTCAATGTAAATATGCAAAAATGGCGACGACTAGAATCTACATTCCAAGTTGGTGTTCACCGTAGACTGACATCAGTTGCAGAAATATTAGAAACATGGGAACAATGAACAGCTTTCTCGTCCTACAGTGGGACTCCTCGGCAGTGCGCACCCACGACCCCGCAAGGAACCGAACCCGAGACTTTCAGGTCACGCGACCAGCACGTTACCATTGAGACATTGGATCAGAATCCAGTGGTCCATATTTACAACTTCTGTCAGTTCACGATACAGAGCAACTGCCACCCAATGTTATCGTTGAGTAACTGTCCTCACGACCATGAGGCTAGCCTCACTGGTCACGACTTCTCATTTCCAACTTCATGAATCACTTCTTGAATCTAGTCACCAAAGAGTACGAGTTCAATTGAATTTCGAGGAGGTTGTGGGGATTTAGAAGTAATTCCAGTTGGAAGCGCACTGCTGAGAAGTCCCATACTAGGACGAAATAGCTATCCAGTGCTCCCAGGTTTCTATTGTTCCTCCAACTGATGTCCGTCTACGATGAATAACAACTTGAAATATACTGAAAAGCCTGTCATTGAAACGTGGGACGCTACCAAGCACAGACATTGATAAACAAATCCATAATACAGGTCATACCGTTAACTCGAAGATAGCTTTCAAGGTAATCAATAGACAAAAACATAGTCCATTACTACGTTATGCAGAAACAGCAGTAATCCGTCGACTGGAACCAAACGACTATGTACGAAAGGAGTTTGTGCTTCATTCATTAGTACATACACGTTGCACACCATCTTTGGTTTTCTCCCACTTTCAATCGGAACTATTACCACCTCAAACTGTAATCATATTCCTGTTTTTACTACTACATAGTATTGTTTTCTCTGTCTTAACTGATTGATTTCATGGTCTAATTTGCTATGTTACCAGTTCCGTGTATTGGTTGATTGTGTCGTGAAATTTGTCATTCATCTCACTTCCCAGATTAATATATAATGTTGTCTAGATGTGAAAAAATGTATGTGACGCTGAGTTAACTCTCAATATGTATCAGATGACTTATACTGACTGTACACAATGTTTAAATTGACTGAGTCGTGTGTAGAAGATTCAGAGCACACGAAATGGGAATTCGATTCCGTTGCATTTTACTCTGTTTATCAAAAATGTCACACAAGGGAACAGTATCATTTATAATCACTTCGGCGATCAATTTACTAAAGTTTGAATGATGTGGAGACGATCATTACGACCCTTCAGCAAGTTTCACTCGCCAAATCGGGAAGTATTTCATATATTCAATTCAGTAAACGATACTGTTTCACTATGTGTAACATTCCTACTAAAAAAACTGTAATGGAACTGCCATCGACCACACTGCTCAGGTTTTACTCTTGTATTATTGAAATACATATCATCTTCCTGCTTAAACACTAAGCAAAAAACTCACACGACATTCACAGAGAGAAAACGGATACACAAACCATCGTGTATTCAATACTCGATATCGATGTTGGAAATGCTCATCGTAACGCGCCGCCAAGTTCATGAACCATCACATAAAAGCACTGACTTGACTGACGTTGGTGTTGAAAATCCAGATATTGTTCACACTTTACGGTGTGTGTGGAGTGCAAAAGATCTCCACACTGATTTCCTATTGATGAATGAAGGCCCGTATTGCTGTCTTTCTGATCCCGTCTGCTTTGACATCCTCGTCTGTGCCGACGCTTGTAGTTGAAACGATGCTGCCTACATAGGTGAAGGTGAAAGAGGCTACTTCCTTTAAGTTTCTCCCTTTGATGGTGATTGCAGCTTGTTGTTGTTGATGCCGGTTTTGGTTAGGTATCTTCATCACCTCCGTCTTGTCTACATCCAGTTGAAGTCACGTTTTCGCTGCCTCTTCTGCCGACTTGGTTTTCGCCTGTACATCTTCGAGTCTGTGCTATATTAGATGTAAATGATCATTGGTGAAATGCAAATCTTGTAGAATCCTTTCATCGCTCAAAAAGCATATTCCTATCTTTTCGCTTCTCACAGTTGTCTGTTGCATGATCCAGTCTACCACAATCAGGCAAGGTTCATAAAAGTATTACCCTCTCATAATTCAAGGAACTGAATTTCCTATATCCAATTTCACTAAGCAAATCTAAACGGAATGAAATGTGCATTCTACATTCCCCTACTAGGCACCATCGAATAAAGTACATGAAAGTGGGAACTAAGGCAATATCAGAACAATTGAACAGGTTCCTGTGCACCAATACAGATCAATCAACTTGGCCAGATGTAGTAATCAGTAAATAGTAAATAATATTCACTGCATAATAGGTGGCTTTCATAAATCAGTAGCTAAGTGGATAACGTCTTGGATTTTAAGGTGATAGGTGCTGGGTCTTAGCCTCAATGAGAACACCGTCACTTCACTGAGATACAGGTATATTCAGCTGAAGAATATCAGTTAGGACGATACGCACTTCCTGGCTGCCATTACTAACCAATACCAAGCGATCTACAGGTTATGCAGGAGATGATCATCAATCTTGTATTGTTGTGATACACGGTGAAATTTGTATTCAAACAACCTGGATTATCAAAGCTTTAACAATTGTGTGTGATTATCTTTGATTGTGCAAAGCTAAAGAAGATAAGCAGCTCAGGATCAAGATAATAACTATACCGTTTAATCTGTCAATTTTGATGTTTATTACATTTTTATGAGTTCATCGCTGAAGGAGTCAACTAGTCTGACAATGGGACGTTCACGACCCAATTAGAAAGCTGGAAAGAATTTGAAATTGCTATTTTTTTTCTAAAAGTTATTCACTTCAAGCTATTGACTAGTATTGTAAGCGGGAAATATCGATTTCCTGGGGGCTGCAGGTATGCCTTACTGACGAGCCTCCAACAAGAGCGAAACTTAGATGATGTACAGCTTCCTAACGACTGCCTTCAACCATGTAAAATAGAGTAAAGCCATATGACTACACTGCAAAACGATCAATAGAATTCGGTTAGCACTCAAGACTAGACAACAGGAAACTGATTATCATGATTGGATGAAGTTCTGATTCGGAAAGAGTACCGTTTACTTTGTTGTGTAACACACAACTGAAGTTCAAGTAGGTATTTATCATGGAGAAACAATTGAAGCCTGGGAGCAATGAACAGTCGTTTCGTTCTCATATAGACGTCCTCAGCAGTCTGCAACCATGAATCCATCAGGAATAGGACGCAGGATCTTCAGGTCCATTGGCCAACATATAACCAGTAAGAATTTGGGCCGGAATACAATGGTCCACATTTACTGCTTCTCTTCGACAGAAGTCATAACTTGCGGAACAAACTAATTCCGATGTGATGACAGGTACTCATCAATGACATTGGATGAAGGTTGTGCAGTGTCACGAATCAACAGAAAATGCTGCCTTGGATCGATCCCTGGCAGGGTTGTGGGTGTACACTGCTAAGGAGATACATACTGGGATGAAGCAGATGTCAATGACTCTCCAACTGATGTCAGTAGATAAAATCCCCACAAACCTCCAAAATGAATTGTTATATTAATTACAGAACCTAATTTTTGTCCACAGTAACACGAATAAAGTCGCCCTGTTCATATTTCCAGGTTTCAACAACATTATCATTCTATGTTAATGATGGATCTTGGCTAGCAGTGGAATCCACGATGCGCATTTCGTCCCATTTAGGATGTACTTGCTTCCCAGTGAGTGATGTTGTTCTCAGCGGGATTTGGACTCTGGAGCGATCGCTTCAAACGCCAGCGCATTATCCACTACACTACATCATATAGAAACAACTATACTAAAAACTATACCCGTCGCACAAGAAGTGGCTATCATGGCCCGGTGGTGTAGTGAATAATGCTCTGGCGTTTGAGGCGATCGTTCCCCAGTCCGAACCCCGGTGGGAACAATATCACTCACTGGGAAGTAGGTACATCTAGCTGTTGAGTCCCAAATAGGATGAAATGCGCATCCTGGATTCCACCGCTAGCCACGATCCATCATTAACAGAAATAGAACGCTGGCAATATCAAGGCATCTACACAGGAGCCCATATGCCAATAGAGACTGATAAATTCGGTCCAATCGACGACGGTATCATATAAATACAATTTTACTAAAGATTATCATTCTACATGAAGGCGAAAAGCAATCATTCTGATGGTCTTTAAGAAGAAAGGTTTCCGATATTTAAATGGTGATTTCGTATTTTGTAGTTCAGTTACCTTATCTTTTCAGGTGAATAGTTCACATAAATGATGATTGAATGAATTCTCTAAAGAAGTTGGGTTATTTTGGTATTCTCCACCATTTCTAGAAAACAGACTACGTAAGGAATCATATGAGCTAGTTAGCAGTACAAACAGATAGGATATTCAGTATACAGATTGATAGCAATTTCATAAAACATACACAAAATATCCACCCTAAGCAAAATATTAGGCCACATCATCCTGGAGAGACTGAAGGATGAGCTGGATTCAGGAAGTACAAATCGTGTGCGGACCAAATTGCAACACTTCGCATCATTATCAAACAGAGTACAGAATGGCAGTCAACCCTCCACCAAAACTTCATCGACTTTGAAAAGGTCTTCGATTAAGGCATCGACTGAGAAGTACGTTGCCAACTGCTTCAATACTATGGTGTAACACAAAACCTTTATCAATCTCATTCAACAAATATATGAAGACGCCACATGTCAAGTAATTCACAATTGGAAGCTCAGTGATGCTTTCGAAGTGAAGTGAAGACAAGAGTAAAACAAGGCTGTCTATTATCACCCATGATATTCCTGATTGTAGTGGACTGGATCATGCAAAAAACTGTGAGGAGCGAGAAGAGGTGGATACGCTGGCTGGACCGCGGAAAAGATCCCAGAAGAAGATTTGGATTTCACCGATGACTTGTGTCTAGTGTCACACAAACTCAAAGATCCATAGGCAAAATCCAACAAGTTGACAGAAGAGGTGAGCAGTGAAGGAAGATGGGAATTCAAGTGAATGTAGAGAAGACAGAGGTGATAAAGATACCCAACCAACACCAAAACCACCACCAACAACAACAAACTCCAATCACCATCAAAGGGAGAAACTTAAAGGAAGTAGCCGCTCTCATCTTCACCTATCTAGGCAGCATCGTTTCAACAACACACGGCACAGGCACACATGAGGACGTCAAATCCAGCCAGAATCGGAAAGACAACAAGACAGGCCTTCATTAACCTGAAACCAGTGTGGAGATCCTCAACATTCAGCATGTGGAACAACATCCGGATTTCAGCACCAACGTCAGTCAAGTTAGTGCTTTTGTATGGCTTAGAGACTTGGCGAGTTACGAAAGGCACTTCCAACAAATTGCAGACATTCGTCAACAACTGCCTACACTGGCTCGTTACTGAACACCAGATGGCCAGAATAAGAAGAAGAAGCAACAAGGAACTGTGGCTGGTTAACTGCCAACGAACCAACCAAGAATCTATCACTCAACAAATATGCAGAATAAGATGGAGATGGATTGGGCATACACTGAGAAGGCCGACTGGGGACATCACGCGTCAGGTCAGGTACTCGAGTGAAACTCAGATGGGAAACGACTAGTTGGGCTTTCGAAGCGAAGGTGATACGGAGGAGATCGTGTGAGGAAGAAATGAGAGATTGTGAGCTGTCATGCAGCAAGGTCGAAAAGGTTGTAGAGAAGAGAGTGGAATGGAGACGTTATACTGAAGCGGTATGTTCCACTAGGAACCCAAGGGACATATAAAAAATAATAATAGTATAACAATGTGGAAAGGAGTCTCCAATTCACTGAATATTTCGTTCTTGAATAACAGGTTAGATGAAATCATAACTCAAGCAGATAACAAATAAAATACTCACCTTTTACTATGATAATATTATACTAAATATTGTTTATCTCTTGTTTCTTTATCCCCTTTTTTTTTTAACTTTCTAACTCATTATTGTAAGCATAATTTATACAAGATTTACCGCCAACTGGAATAGCATCAACACCGATATTACTATGTTGATTTCGGGGATCAATTAAGTGATTTATTGCTAATTGACGTTTACGCTCATAAATTTCATTCAATGTATCTGAATCTGCTTTGATCAAGTGTCGTTCAGCACCAGTAAGTTGATTCATTTCCTGTAGAGAGTGATGAATGATGAAATGATTACAAGATAATATTGAACATTTATCATTATACTAGAATACAATTTCATTGTACCATTTGACTATCTGAGATAGCTGTGCGTGGTTTGAAAGACTAATAATTATACTGGCTGATAGTTGAAGGTGAGATGAGAATCTGAACCATGGCCGGATTCGAACCAGTGACCATCGGGTTACCGACCCACTGCTCTACCAACTGAACTACAAGGTCTGACTGCTGACCAGATTTCTTTTCATTTCACTTCAGTCACAAGGTGGATTCTGCCCGACTACAATGTGAATTCATGACGCGTTATTACACCTTGAGCGTATTAACACTGGCTGCCTACCAGTCAGGACTTCTCATCACAATCGAAATCTAAGTGAATTTGAGCATTATATTGACTATCATTTGACTATTTCGGACAGCCCTGAGTAGTTTCGCAGACTAGTATTCATACCGGTTGATGAGTGAAATTAAATAAAACTATGCTCAGCAGTCGGACGTCGTAGCTCCGCTGGTAGAGCACCGGACAGGATCCTGATGGCCATCACAGCCCAGAAACTCTCATTTTAGATTAAGAAAAATTGGAACTCGCAATAAAAACTGTAAAGTCACAAACAAACTGACTTTCTATCACATTTATTTGTGGCCAGTAGCCAGGCAAATCCAAACTCTATCGATTTAACAGGCATACTCATCACACTACATTCACTCACCAGATGCATTACTGACACTCTAAATGATACCGGATGCAGTTATCACTAATCATTCTGTTAACAGATTACAAAAAGTTCAAATGGAAGGTATTATCTATGTAAAAACATTTAGCAAACTACTTTTTTCATATATACATGACAAAAACTTTTGAAATGGAATTTTCATACAAAATGTTGTTTCGAAAATAGACAGTAACTATGGGTATTAAGATAAAGTTGATCAGAGTAACTTCTGATATGATAAACACAACAAAATGTTCTTAATTTAGGACAGTAAGTATCACTGTCTGCTTTAGTGTGACAACGAAACTGGAAAGCAAGTGTCTGAAATTACCTTAAGTGGTTTCTTGTTAGAAAGCATGTTCCTGAACCTTATCAAAAGTAAGTCAAACAGCCAACCCAGGTACTTATTTATTCTACTTATTATTCATATTAATGATGAGTAGTGATTAGCTGTGGAATCTGGGAAGTGTGCCTCATCCTATCTGAGACTTGCCAGCTGGATATATCTACCTCTCGAAGTCAAAACCGATCGCTTCAATAGCTGGAACGATATCCACTAGGCCAATGAACCACGATAGCAATTCCATGTGCGACGAGTATAGCATAGTATTAATGTTATTTACTCTCAAGGAGGTTGGAAAGCTGATGAGGCGACTATTATAACACCTATTATTATTATTATTATTATTATTATTATTATTTTTCCCTTTGGGTTCCTAGTGGAACATACCGCTTCAGTAGCACGCCCCCTATTGCACTCTCTTCTCCCCAAACTTTAGAACCTGGCTCCATGACAGCCCAGAAACTCTCATCTCTTCCTCACACCATCTCCTCCATGTCACCCTCACCTCCGACACCAAACTCGTCGTTTCCTCTTCAGATTCCACTTGAGTACCTAGTCTGTCGCGTGATGTCTCCTATCGGCCTTCTCAGTGTATGCCCAATCCAGTCAATCTCCACTTTCTACCTCCGCATACACGTTGAGTGATAGGTCCTTAGTTGGTTCGTTGCCAGCCAGCCAGCCACACTTCCTTCTTGCTTATTCTTATTATTCTGGACATCTGAGCCTCAGTATCCAGGGCAGGCAGCAGCTGTTAATGAATGTCTGTAGTTTTTTGGAGATGCCTTTTGTAACGCCCTAAGTCTCTGAACCATACACAAGCACTGACTTGAATGATGTTAGTGTTGAAAATGTGGATGTTGTTCAGGCTTTATGCTGAGTGGAGTGCAGTAGATCTCTACACTGATTTCAAATTAATGAAAGTCTGCATTGCGGTCTTTCGGATTCTGGTTTTGACGTCCTCGTCTGTGTCGCCTGTAGTTGAGACGATGCTGCCTTGTCTAGGCAGGTGAAAGAGATAACTTCCTTTAGATTCCTCCTGTTGATGGTGAGTGGTGCTTGTGGTTGATGCTGTTGTTCTTGTTGCTTAGGTATGTTCATCACCTCTGGCTTTTATACATTCACTTGAAGTCCCATCTTCGCTACCTGCCTCTTCTACCAACTTGTTGGTTTTCGCCTGTACATCTTCAAGTTTGTGCGATATTCAATGTAAATGATCATCGGCGAAATGCAAATCTTGTAGAATCTTTTCATCGGTGCAGCCAACGTATGCTCATCTTCTCACAGCTACTCACAGTTGCCTGTTGCATGATCCAGTCCAGTTCAATCAACCAGAATCAGGAAGACCATTGGTGATAGTAGGCGGCAACCGTGTCTTACTCCTTCCTGTCTTCACTTCAAATGCATCAATGAGCTTTCTATTGTGGATCACTTGGCATATTAGCATCATATAGTATATACCTTTCGAATGAGGTTGATAAAGGTTTGTGGCACTGAAACCATAGTGTTGAAGCAGCTGCCAAATTATTTTTCGGTCGACGCTGTCGAAGGTGTTTTCAAAGTCGATGAAGTTGAGGTAGAGAGTTGTCTGCCATTCTATACTCCATTCTATGATGATGCGTAGTGTAGCATTGTAATTTGGTCCTCACACGATTTGTTCTTCCTGAGTTCAATCAGCCTGTTCCGGTTGTAATTTTAAGTCCGGCGCATTAGTTACTTTCTCTAGGATGATGAGGCACAATATTTTGCTTGGCCTAGATAGCAGCATGATTCCTTGCCAATTGTTGCAAAGGCTTAGGTCTCCTTTCTTTGGGAGTTTGACAAGATAGCCCTTCTTCCAATCTCCAGGTACTTTACCTTCCTTGCAAACCTTTTTCAGTAGTGGTATGAGCATGTCCACTATTGTACCAGGGATTCTTATATCATCTGAACTCTAAATCACCCAGTATGAAGTTCAACTCAGAGAGAGAAAAGAATAAGATAGAATTGCCTTTCCTTGATTGTGTCTTGTTAAGAAGAAAGAAAATGGACATTTAGGTAGAACCATTTTCAAGAAAGCACCACTTCCGAACAAATAGTTAGATTTCAACTCATCACGTCCAATTAATGCGAAAGTTTCTGTTGACTCTAGTCTCTTAAAGAGAGCACATATTCTAGTAACGAATGAAAATGAAAGAGTCTGGGAATTAAACTATGTGAAAAAGATACTTAAGATGAATAATTATCCGGTGAAATTCATTCGCAAAATAGAAAACAATATTAAATTAGACCGTGAAACTACTTGTAGATCGTAGGTCTCAACAATAGTTATCCTGTGCAGATCACAGACATTGGATGAAATCAGGAGAGTCCTCAACAACTGCAATAACATCAGAGTGTTTTACAGAGCATCAAACACATTGCACACTACCCTTAGTTCATTTGAAGGACAAGATCCCTCTAGATTCATAATCGAATTGTGTTGATAAAGATAAAAATGCTCAGACTGTGATGAAATATACACTACACATAGGATAAACTTCTTGAGAAATGAAAATTAGGAAAAATGAACATCGGAAAGCTTCCATCCCATCCCTTAGAAATCCAGTGGAACTGAAAACAACTTGAAAACACATTACACATAGCTCTAAACAGTATAATTTCAGGTCATACAGTCGACTGTTTGACAATATCGTAGTTATTCAGAAAGGCTTTAGAAATTTTTTTTTAAAAAAACGTTTTATAACAGAATCTCTTCACACTAAGTAGGATCAACATACTACAAATGGATATCATCTTACATTCTATAATTATGACAATGTAGAATCATTCATACAGAAGAACACTTGTCAAGTTATCATATATAGGCTAGAAGGATATTGTTTATTTCGGTTTGCTATAACTTTGTTTAGAACTGTTAGCGGTATTCAATAGTGAAGCGTCAGTTGATATATATTCTCATTGGGAAATAGGTATACCAAAATAATGAATATTCATTTTGCCCCAATGGCAAAATATTTTCAAATCATTATATCTTAACTTGACCCGGTGAACTTAACCACTGGGTGTATGTTTGCAGTGAACAATATAGTTCAATTCACTTGCCATGATTATTTCCGATGACTGAAAACCTTTTGCTGAAGTGTAATCATGATGTTAAGATGCTTAAATCTTATGAAATAGGCTAACATATATGCGTAAATCTTTCAACAATAACTGTAATGTAAGCGATTATTTGTCCTTTGGAGACAATCAAATGTGATCATGTATAACTATCTGTTAAAATATAACTTAAAACAAATGTCCAATCAATAAACTCTCAAAAATCACTTCTTTGGTAGTCAAGAAAACTGTCGTGACATTTATGCTAATGTCCTTTGGATAGAAAATAGGAAAAATCGAATTTCAACAGCTAGGTGTTATAATATAACAAGCTCCAATCACCATCAATGGGAGAAACTTAAAGGAAGTGGCCTCTTTCACCCACCTAGACAAGGCAGCATCGTCTCAACTACAGGCGACACAGATGAGGACGTCAAAACCAGAATCCGAAAGACCGCAAGGCAGACTTTCATTAATTTGAAATCAGTGTAGAGATCTACTGCACTCCACTCAGCATAAAGCCTGAACAACATCCACATTTTCAACACTAACATCAGTCAAGTCAGTGCTTGTGTATGGTTCAGAGACTTAGGGCGTTACAAAAGGCATCTCCAAAAAACTACAGACATTCACCAACAGCTGCTGCCTGCCCTGGATACTGAAGCTCAGATGTCCAGAATAATAAGAATAAGCAAGAAGGAAGTGTGGCTGGCTGGCTGGCTGGCCGGCCGGCAACGAACCAACTAAGGACCTATCAATCAATGTGTATGCGGAGGTAGAAAGTGGAGATTGACTGGATTAGGCATACACTGAGAAGGCGAATAGGGGACATCACGCGACAGACTAGGTACTCAAGTGGAATCTGAAGAGGAAACGACGAGTTTGGTGTCGGAGGTGAGGGTGACATGGAGGAGATGGTGTGAGGAAGAGATGAGAGTTTCTGGGCTGTCATGGAGCCCGGTTCAAAAGTTTGGGGAGAAGAGAGTACAATAGGGGCGTGCTACTGAAGCGGCATGTTCCACTAGGATTCCAAGGGGAATAATAATAATAATTATTACTATTATTATGATAATAATAATAATAGTAATAGGTGTTATAATAGTCGCCTCATCAGCTTTCCAACCTCCTTGAGAGTAAGTAACATTAATACTATGCTATACTCGTCGCACATGGAATTGCTATCGTGGTTCATTGGCCTAGTGGATATCGTTCCAGCTATTGAAGTGATCGGTTTTGACTTCGAGAGGTAGGTATATCCAGCTGGCAAGTCTCAGATAGGAATAGGATAGGAATAAATAAGTACCTGGGTTGGCTGTTTGACTTACTTTTGATAAGGTTCAGGAACATGTTTTCTAACAAGAAACCACTTAAGGTAATTTCAGACACTTGCTTTCCAGTTTCGTTGTCACACTAAAGCAGACAGTGATACTTACTGTCCTAAATTAAGAACATTTTGTTGTGTTTATCATATCAGAAGTTACTCTGATCAACTTTATCTTAATACCCATAGTTACTGTCTATTTTCGAAACAACATTTTGTATGAAAATTCCATTTCAAAAGTTTTTGTCATGTATATATGAAAAAAGTAGTTTGCTAAATATTTTTACATAGATAATACCTTCCATTTGAACTTTTTGTAATCTGTTAACAGAATGATTAGTGATAACTGCATCCGGTATCATTTAGAGTGTCAGTAATGCATCTGGTGAGTGAATGTAGTGTGATGAGTATGCCTGTTAAATCGATAGAGTTTGGATTTGCCTGGCTACTGGCTACAAATAAATGTGATAGAAAGTCAGTTTGTTTGTGACTTTACAGTTTTTACTGCGAGTTCCAATTTTTCCTAATCTAAAGGGCTATAAGTATGCTACTGGTGAAAAACCTTCAGTCAAGTGTAGGCTGTGACAGTTATTCAACAAGAATGGACTATGATTATGATGGAGTTAATATAATGGGAAAAAGACTAGGAAAATAGAGAAAGACAAGCCATAGTTGGCCCACCATGACCTAGATAGGTATGCTGTAGGGTTGGTTCAAACAAAGCGTAAACAATAAGAAAAACGAACCGTAGATCAGTCTAAACGCTAGCTGAAAAACTTACTGGACCGTTAAAGAACTGTCTAACTATGCTTTTCAATGATGATGAAGCCCCCGGCTGGATCATTCTGAAAATAACTGCGAATTCCCCTTGGGTTTGCAATACCACCAATAAGATTATGAAGTGAGTCTAGAAGGCTGTAAATATGGTTAATCTAGAATATAAAAAAATATATAAAACTAAAGTCCAAGTGAATCCTCTGGAATTTTTGGTGGGTGACAATTACACATGTTTTGTCTGCTACGTCTCTTGGGGTAGACTTCGTTAGACTGGGAAACCGGATTCATTATGTATCCTAGAAGTAGTTTTAAGTAACAAAAAGATAAGGATAACCGTCTTTAATAACCAGATGTAAAAATGTGAAGCTTTTCCCCAGATATTACCTCAAAAGGAAGAGAAGCGATATTTTAAAGTTGAGGTGTTTCGCAACTTAATGCTCTGCAAACGAATGTATCACAGGCCTGTGTGAGGGAGTTGGGCTATACTTAGTGGATTTGTGACTGCTTTTTAACCAGTGCCCATGATAGTAGGAATAAAATTCAAAAACCAGGAGCTTTATTAAACGGACTTGGTCCTAATACACAGTCGCTGTGTCTAAAAGACTGTTCATAAGAGGTGTAAACTATACCTCTGCTTATTTTGATACATTATTTTGCTAGGATTTTTACGATCATGAGTTGCTAGGGTGGTGAAATATTGTCATGTCAGTAGGGAGCTTGACATACCCTCAAGCATCTTGCAGGCAAATGATAGTAATGAACGTGAAGTAGCTAGGTAGAAACCATCAACGCGCGTTTCCTAAACAGGTAATTCACTAAACCATCTTACCTTATCAGTGACCTTGTACTCAATCACATACACAACTAGGAGAGAGGCAATCTACTTCTAGTGGTTAGGGGGGCCTAAATGTACAACAGAGAAAATAGAATGGCACCTCAATCGAAAGCTAGGGTAACTGATTTCAAAGTGAGTTATCTTTTTCGGTTATATGGTCTGGTCTGTTCAACAAAGTACCGAATGCGACAGGTTTCAATTTAGAATATAAGTCAATGTTGTTTGGTTTTTTCTTCATTGATCGACGTAAGGATGCTACTGATCTCCGGTGCTTCTCCACAGTATTGGACAATGACTTATTTATTCTGTCTTCGAACTTATAAATCACATTGTGATACTGTTCACCTTAGACCAAATGTGCAGCACATAGATATTTCGTGTATAAGTGGCTATTGGACTATTTTTTATAAGTCAACCATTGCAAATGCTTGTAATAGGTTCAAAGTTTCACTCAAGAGGTGATGGTGCCATTTATTACGTAGTCATTGCCATGAAAACCTTCTTATTCCCATAAATTGCTTGATAAGAATACCCAAAACTTTCCAGAGTTAAAAAAGTTTGCTCAATCTATTCTTAGAAACGGGAGTATAAATGCTTAATGCTAAGCCTTCTGAAGTTCAAAATATATGCTGAACTGTAACTTGATGGATTAGAAAATCGTATGGAATACAACTTGTGAATGATTGTCAAAACTGTCTTAAGAAGGTTGTTTTCTTTTATAACAAGCAACTCGATGGATGAGATAAAGTCTTGTCACCGGCTTCAACTGTGAAGTCAGAAGGTTGACAAAATCTAATCTGCTCATTGATGAATGCTTATCAAAGTGCTTCAATAGGATTCTCTAGGCAGATCGAAATAGTGATACACCAGGTAGTTTTACCAGGATCGTCTCACTGATACCTCCATTGTACATAACGGAGGAGACATCTTTTAAATTTCCTGTTGACCCTACATCTGATAAATCCTCTGGTTACAAAGATGAGAAACTCAGATTGTTATCTTCCCAAGCAAGTATTCCTTCTTAACCTATTACTGGGCTTTAAAAGGATCCTCAGTCTTTCAGAGGACTGAACACCTAGTGAGTCTTGCCCTAAGGATAATAAAATTCTTTGAAGAAATAACCCAACATAAGGTGCATATGCATATTGCACATATAATGTCCGATCACCAGTACAATTCAGATTCCAAGGGGTAGAAAACTTTTCACAGACAAGGTGCACATGAACATCAGTGAAGATTTTGTTAATTTGTCTTAACTAACATTACTAGAGGGCACCAACAGTTTCATTTCAGATGATAAATTGTTTTTCTGGATAACGAACATCCAGTACGATGGCAAGGGAAAAAGTGGGGGTAAGAGATGAATTATATGAAAGTCTGTGGTAAATGAGATTCTTTAAGAAATAATCCTGAATCTGCTCCTTTTCCTGATTTTTGCTAATAAATTACGAGGTGTGTCTATATCTTGAACGCTGTTATTTACCACTGGCGTATACTTTTGGATGGATGCATATAGGCATGAGCGAAAGTTGGATTTTTATGAACCAATGGACTGGTCCGACAGACAGTATTCTGAATTAAACCTTCACAAAAAGGCAGTTATGCATGCTAGCTGAGGCGACGGTGACCAGCATCCCATTGATGCTACATAACTATTCCTGGCCTTGGAGCTAAAAGGTTTAGGCGTGATAGCAAGTCTCGATATGAAAATATTTGCACACTAAGATGTGGTTGCAGGTAAAGGTTTCCTTATTCCATTGCCCGTGCGCAGAAATCCCAAAAGTGTTAGACATAATGTGTCCAGGATACCTTATCGCAAATACCAATAAACTCATATGGATTACTGCATTCAGGTGGGCAGTAGAGCTACAACATCTCTGGATGATAAGTGCTAACCTGGTGGTCGGTTTTTCCAACCTGCTCCATGGGAAACATTTAGATCAACTGGACCTTCCATTCCACTATATTGTGCAGAAAAATGTAATTAGACATTAGCATTTTGCATGCCTAATGACCATTTTCATGCTTACATGTCATATCTTTCCTCTACATGTGTATTTGTGACTGATTACAATCAGTTTATTGAGATATGCCTCTGAGACCAGCAAAGAAACTGTAAAAAGCCACGACTGAACCAATATAGTATGAATCCATATTTTTTTATCAAATAAACCAACAATTCTAACTATTTACCTAACCAAATGATACCAGACTAACTGGCCTACTTCCTTTCATTACCAAAGACTGAAGCTATCTCATATAACTACCGTCTAAGAATAAACAACTGAAATTATACTGAAAATTTACTGCTGACAAAAAAAGGACGATACATTATCTTAGCCATTAACATGAAGGTCTTCGGGGTTAAAAATCTGCTGCAAACATAATATGCATCGATGAGGTATAGAGAATCAATCGACTACCATACGCTAGTTCATAGAAATGAGTGATGTCGAAAATGATATGTACGTACAAGTAAAATACTTTTAAAAATACTACAAAATTGTATCACTTTAATTATTTAGGCTGAATTAATTACCTCTTCTGAAGTTTCGCAACGTATAGGGTCCTTTGATGCCATATGCATAGGGTCATCGAATTTTCGAAAATGTGCCAGATCATTTGGCTGTACAACAAGCAATTCTACATCAACTTTTCTTTGATCAATTTTACAACTTCATTATGTGAAAGATGATCTGCTTAAGTCATAGTGAACCTGAATCTTGACTTGCCTACGGTTCTGCTATTGACTAATAAGATTATATCACCAGTAAGAAGACCTCCTGACTGGCTGGGTGAAAATGGCTCAACATTTTCTACTCTGTGCTCCTTTTTGTAAGAGTCCGTTCGAAGACTAAAGCCGTAACCACTGAAATTTGGCCACTTTTTCAAGTGACAGAGCCTCGCTCGATGGTTGCCCATTTCCGCGCAATTTTTCATTTTGAAAAAGTGCCAATTAAGAGTGAAAGCATGATTCACAGACTTAAAGAAGTAAAACCATCACTCCAAATAAACATATAAAACTACTTGCTACTTTAGTTATGTACCTCAACGTTTAAGTTGATAGTGTACGACATTTCCCACAAGTAAAAATACACCACAATTTCTTATAGTTGGATAAAAAAACAATCTACTTTAGTGAGTCTTAGTACGAGTCCATTCATTTACAGGTATCTCTTCCAGAATATCCCTGTCCGTTCGAAAAATTCTATGTCATCCATTCCCAATAATGTCTAGCCTCTGTTTAACGAGCATAAGTAAACCAGTCGATTTCTTCGTGCTGGCTGCTTGGTCTTGAGGAGCGGTTCCAGTTCTCTGGTGGATTCCACTTCAGCAGGTCCATCCACTCCTCTCTATAGCTCTGATGTGCCCGACAGGCAGTCGGGTGTTGGGTAGTTGACCCGTAAGTGCGATGCAGTTGCGTTTTCCGATGTCGGGTTGCCAGACAGTCGTCTCGACTGGTCGTAAGAGAGAGTTGGAGATAGTGAAGAGATAGCCTGGGAAGACAAATTTGTGTGAGTAAAAGGCAAAGAAAACGGAGATAAATGAATATTTTATTCTCACAACAGTAATTTAACATGAAAGAAGCCAGCTTATAGCATCATCACATTGATATGTGTTGGAAAGTGTAAAGGATTATACGGAACTGAATGGTACAGAAAGGAGGCCATTAAATTTGATCAAAAACATCAGGACGTCTCACAAGTTATGAAACGAACACAAAATGTCACTTTTCAGCATATGCAGAGTGTTAAATTTTAGATCATTTTCAGTCATACCTTTTTCTCGTCATTGGTGGCACCAGGGTTGCGCAAAATTCCAAATTTCCTTTACGAGCGGCCGACGGGTTTGATTCATCTTCATAATGCCTTGATACGCTAGATTAACGTCTGTTTTATCATAAATTCCTATGCTTGTAGCTTCGGAGACCAAACGAATCCACAGTGACCATTTGGGGAATCTGTAATCGCGTAATCACGTAATACAAGTGAATATCTGTTCAAGTGTTATTATTCACAGCAATATAGATTAACGCTATCAGAATAAGATATTGTGGTCCAAAGGAATAAGCATATAAAGAACTCCAGACCAACGGCAATGCGTTGCCAATACCGCTCACGTTAAGGTATGCAGCATTATCAAGAAGTTATATTCTTTGTTCTACCAAATACTAGGGAAGTCCGTTGCACGGCATTGTTGCGAATATGTTCACTTCAGAACTGATAGGTGAGTTGGTCTCCTAGATTTTGCCGTCTGTCCAGATTTTTGCTGCCATAATGACCGCCCAGAAATTTGAGTAATTCAAGCAGTCATTTCAATTTCGGGGTTCAGGGGAAGACCTGTTGATGCCAAATATTCTAGGATGGTGGTCATCCACTTGACAGCGTCCCATTTCCTGGTCTCGAAATCAGGAACCACCAAAACAAACCAGTTAAATAATGAATGAAATGACGAGAGTCTGCTCCAAGGACCCAGGCTTTCATACGCGACTAGTAAATGACTGTAAAAGCGCGATATTGACGCGCTTTACAAAAAGCGGAAATCATAGGAGGTTAGATTAAAGTGCTCGGAAAATGAATTGGGTAAACGAAGGACGCTAACGCTCAATGCCGGCTACATTTTCTGATTTGGTGTTCTCCTAGACAGCAGAACGCCATAAGCCTATCTACTATTATCATTAGTCCCTTGGGTTCCTAGTGGAACACACGGCTTCAGTAGTAAGTCTCCAATCCACTCTGTTGTCTGAAATATTCTGAACCTGGCGCCACGACAGCCCACAACCTCTCATTTCCTCCCCGCACGATCTCCTCCATGTCACCCTCAAATCCGACGTCCAACTCGTCACTTCCCATGATGGTTCCACTCGAGTACCCGGCCTGACGCGTGATGTCCCCCGTCGGCCTACTCAGTGTATGCCCAATCCATCCCATTTCCTTCTGCATACTTGTCGGGTGATAGGTTTTTGGTTGGTTCGTTCCAAGAGCTCCTTGTTGCTTATCATTTCTGGCCACCTAATCTTCAGCAGCGAGCGTAAGCAGTTGTTGATGAATGTCTGTAGTTTATTGGAAATCGCTTTCGTAACGCGCCAAGTCTCTCAACCATACATAAGCACTCACTAGACCTACGTTGATGTTGAAAATCCGGATGTTGTTCCACATGCTGAGTGCTGAGGATCTCCACACTGGTTTCAGGTTAATGAACAGCTGTCATGCTCTTCGGATTCTGACCTTGACATCCTCGCCTGTCCCACCTGTAGTTGAAACGGTGCTGCCTAGATAGGTGAAAGAGACTATTTCTTTTGAGTTTCTCCCGTTGATGGTGGTTGAAGTTTGTTGTTGTTGGTGGTGCGGTGTCTTCATCACCCGTGTCTTCTCTACGTTCACTTCAAGTCTTGTCTTCGCTGCCCTGCCTCTTCTGTCAACTTGTCAGTTTTCGCCAGTGGATCATCAAGTTTGTGTGACATCAGGTACAAGTCATCATTGGCGAAATCCAGATCTTCTAGGTTCTTCTCCGCAGTCCAGCGTATCCCCCCCCTTCCCGCTCCCCACTGTTTGCTGGATGATCCAGTCGACCGCAATCAGGAATATCATAGGGGATGGTAAGCAACTTTGTTTCACTCCTGTCTTCACTTCAAAAGCATCACTGAGCTTCCCATTGCGAATTACTTGGCATGTGGCGTCTTCACACAGTTGCTGAACGAGGCTGATAAAGGTTTGCGGTACTCCGTAGTAATGAAGCAGTTTCCAAATCACCTCTCGGTCGACGCTGTCAAAGGCCTTCTCAAAGTCGATGAAGTTGAGGTGTAGAGTTGACCGCCATTTCATACTCTTTTCTATGACGATGCGAAGCGTTGCAATTTGGTCCGCGCATGATTTATACTTTTGAAGCCTGCCTGTTCGGGTCGTAGTTTTGAGTCCGGCACATGCTTTAGCCTCTCCAGGATGTTGTGGCTTGATGCTTTGCTTGGGGTGGACAGGAGCTTGACTCCACGCCAGTTCTTCTTCTTGCAAAGACTTTCTGTTCCCTTCTTTGGATGTTTAACAAGGTAGCCCTTCCTCCGATCCATCAGCAGGCACCTTTCCTCCCTTCCACACCTTCTGCAATAGTGGTGTGAGCACGTCAGCCGTTGTCCCTGCGTCTGTTCTCAGTGCTTGTGGTGGGATTCCATCTGGTCCTGCTGCTTTCCCGCATTTCAGCAGCTTTATGGCCTTCAGGACTTCGACTTTCATCGGAGGGCTTGTGCTCACTTGCAGTTCAGCGGCCGTAGGTGGTATTCCTGGACGAAGTGCAGGTGGTGGTCGATTCAAGAGCTTTTTGAAGTGGTTGGCCCATCGTTTCCTTTGTTTCGCTCCCTTCGTGATTAGATTGCCTTCATCATCTTTCACTGGTTTCATCTGTATTCATCTCTTCCCTCCCAGATAGTTGCTTGGTCATCGGATACAATGTTGCCAGGTCTCTCCTACTTGCAGCCTGTTCTGCTTCTCTTGCGAGTGTGTAGTAGAAGTAGGTGTCGTTCGTCCTTCCGTGCACTCTCCTTCACTTCTTTGTCCAGTGTTTTATACACTGCACTCAGCCCCCCTTCTTACCGTTCATCCCTGCACTGGTTCATCTTCTGCTTCAGCATCCTCCTCTCCTCTATCAGCTTCCATACGTTCGTCGAGATCCAATCTTTATCTTCTTTCTTCTTCATTCGTAATACAGTTATGCAGGTTTCTTTCCATATCTCCTTCAAAAACTTTCAGTGTTCATCCACACAGGTCTCTTCAGATATGTTGCTTGATATCTCCCACTTTGTTTCGATGGCTGATGTGAAGATTTTCTTTGTAGTTTCGTCCTTCAGTTTCCGGGTGTTGTACTTGAGCTGTGGTCTATCACCAACTTCCTTGAAGGCTTTCAACTTGATTTTGTAGACAGGTTCCTTGCACTAGATAATGGTCTAAACCTACACCTGCTCCTCCTCTTGACCTTGTGTCAAGTAGGCTGCGTCTCCATTTTACTGAGATCGAGATGAAGTCGATCTGATTTTTAGTGTGTTCATCTGGTGAAATCCATGTCGCTTTGTGGATATCCTTGTGCTTGAACACATTTCCTCCAATAAATCGGTGGATACAATAGCCCTTGCTTCCAGCGCCGTATGAGAAAATTTATCAAAGGAAGCCATTTAAAGGTTGGCAACTGACCCCGAACTCAACCGGTTTCTGGGACCTCCGGCCTTCATATTCTTACTCGCTGTACCTACATCAATGTATGAGTCCTACGCTCCAGGGTACTCGAGTTAAGGTTATTATTGATTGAGGATTGCCCTAGCATGATGGCTTTCTGTGAAATATGGCTATCAGGGAAGATAAAAGACGAGGAAGTTCGTTTAGTACAGCTCAGCCCAATACGAAACGATGGACCGGAGAGTCAATGAGGTGGCGTTGCTCTTTACACCTGCCCTTCCTTAAAAGTTTATGAGATTCAGTTCCATAGAATCGGCATTAAGGATGTCCCCTGGTGTAGTATTAAGTGTTGCAGAGGTCCGTGTTTAGTTGGAGTTCTATACCGCCCTCCTGCAGCTGATGCCAAGTTAAATAAAATGTTAATACAGTCCATTAGAGGAGCCCTGGAACCGAACTTCCCACAGGTCCTCATCATGGGAGATTTTAACATTCCTCAACTCTTTACCTCAGAATGTCCGTCTACTGCTCTAAAAGACTTTCGGGATTTCTTGCTGGAAAACTCCTTGACGGAAAGTGTTTCCCATTGTACTCACTGGGGGCCTGACCGTAAGGCATCCCGACTAGGTCATATTTTCACAAATCAGTTCAATGGGGTAAACAACTTGAGTGTTTTCAGCCCTCTTGGCCTGAGTGACCATGTAGTTATCTCCTTCAATATTTCTGTATCTAAGCCACCCGTTCCCCATCAGACTCCAGCTAGGAATTAGAAGAGAACTGATTTCGAGAAGGTTCGGCAAGGTCTAGAAGGTTTCGCTTGCTTAAATTGCGGTGACCTACTGGATCTTGATGCTAGATGGGGTCTGTTGAAGAATATAATCCTCCAGATGATGGAAGACAACACTCCGCTTATCCCAAGAAGAACTGACAAGTTCTACTCCTCTTGGCTTAATTAAAGCACGTGCAAACTAGTACGGCGTGAACGGTCGTCTCGGAATCTATGGAGGTGCACTAGTAGCCCTTTTGACTGGCTAAATTATAAAGACATCCGTAACAAGTGTACAGTAAGGATCAGAAATGACAGAATAAACCACTAGACACAACTTTGTAGAACCCTGGAGGGGAATCATGGGATGCTGTACTCGCTGACCAAACAAGGGAGTAACAGTTCACTAAGTTGACAGGGCCCCATTAGTTCGGAGGTTCCCTATTCCAACTCCGAAGTTGCAAACCCATTAGCTCATGAATTCCAAAACAACTGTCACTCGGGAGCCAAAACCCCGCCTCTGTCGGACACCTGTATTAAAGAGCGACCAAACCATATAGAGTTTAAACCCCTTGTAATTATGAAAATGTTGAAGAAACGGAACCCGAATAAGTCTCCAGGAATCGATGGGATTCACCCAAGAGCACTCAAAGAGTGCGCCGAAGTTCTGCGCTCTCCACTAGCAAACCTCTTCAAATGCTCGTTTCTGGAAGGCAGGTAACCCTCTGATTGGAAACGGGTGGCTGTCGTCCCAATTTATAAAGGTAGAAACAAACTACTCGCCTAAAACTACAGACCAATCTCCCTGATCTCTTCAGTTGCGAGGGTCACGCAGAGAGTCATAAATGACTGGCTTCATGATCACTTACTTCAGAAATCAATCCTAAACGACCGTCGGCATGGCTTTCTACCAGGAAGGTCCCTTCTAAGCTTCAGTCAGAAACGCGACCTGAGGAGTCACCCGTTAAGAATAGAGTGTGAGAGAGCACGTACAAAGATCCGTGCTAACTCATTTGCAGTTAGTGTGTAGACTGTGGAATCCCCTCCCTTCAGCAGTTGTTACAGCCCCATCCCCTGATACTTTTAAAAGGAGGCTAGAAGCACACCCCGAGTCCTGCGGTACCAATGGGCTGTACTTGATAAGCTTTCCCCAGATCAGATGCAGTAATACTAACTTGAGACCAGATTAATTAATTAATCGTATCTCATTCCTTTCAGGTTTTTCGTAACCGGGAAGATAAATGTTGCCATTCAAACTCAGAACGTATTTCAATAAGACAGACGTGGAACCCAAGGTACCTTAGTTCACTAATTCTACAACATGAAGTTTGAAACTCACGAAATAGTTATTGGACATTGCATATCTTGGAAAACCATGGTAACACTTGCGCGCATTTTAGGATGGCGGATTTTGTTAGGTAAGATATTAAATATTCCTCATAGTTCTCCAAGTAATCAAGCATCAGGTGACTTCGAAGGCAAACAGGATGAAAAGCAACTGATTCAACTGCCGTATAACCTGCAACCGTCGGCAAGAAAAGTTAAAACTGATGAATGTCTCCTGAAGTTAAAAGTGGCAGGCTGCGAAATCCCAAAGCTCACTAAATCTGATGTAAACTGGTAGGCAAGTTTTTCGTTCGAACTTAAATTAAGCTGCTTTTTGAGTAAATATCCGCTTCTAGAGACAAACACCACGGTGTTTGTATTCATGGGTATAATTATTCTCGTTATAGCGTTTAAACGTTACAGTGTTTGGTCCATCAGAATTCAAACCATGTAATTACACAGTGAAGTTATTGTGGAACTCCTTCATACTTTGGCTTTTCTTTTTTATCATCAGACTATGTGTTATTCTCGTATCTTGAAGTAAATATCTATGATCTTTAAAGACTGGGGAGACAAAGTGTTTTGGGAATTGTCCTGGTGCGAACTTGACAGATGCGGAGGCCAATCACTAATTATCCGCACTCACAATATACCTACGAATATGAGACCAAGGAAGAACACGCTACCGTAGTCGGATAGAATAGTATATTTGCGAGGTCGTCCCAAATTACCTATGCTTTGCAACTAACTGGCTAGGGGGTCGATTACGAGGAGTGAAACGTGGCAAAAAACTTGCCAAATAGCGTGGATGCTTGGCTGAGGGCCTTTAGTCCAGCGAGTCCAGTTAAACTACGAAGGCCAGCATCAGTGATGAATCCTGTCGAACCCTAGGCTACTCATTCTAGAGAAGTGTGTGACGCTACGTGCTCATTGTTGCATTTTCTCGAAATTTCTCCAAACGACTTACATTATCTGCCCTCAGAATTTCTATACTAGGCTCCAAATGGTCCTAACTGATTTCCTGATCTGTTTCGGCACTTCCATATGCATATATAAATTGATGTACTCCTATGGAGCTGGACACATACGCCTTACGCATAGGCAGTTTATCTAAGAACGATGCCAATACCTCTCTCTGCGACGCAGAAGAGGCTGGCTAACGTCGTGCAACAGCGGTATGCTATAACATTTGACTGAAAGCGAACACAGTCCAAGAAGGTTAGTTTGGAGTGGTCTACACAATATAGCATAATCCTCCGAAACGTGTTAGGAGACATCTATTTTGCATTGCTTAGTGTTTGGGACTGGTATTGTTACCATTACATAACGCCTAAGCAACCCTACTTAATTCGATGTGCTCTAGTATCTGATTAATCAGCTCCTTATCTAACGTGTAAGTACTGATAGCGTAATACAAATCAACTGGACTGGTATTAAGGAATAAATTCGAAGGAGTAATATATTCAATTAAAATAACTTTGATAGTGATCATTAGGAGAAAATTTCATGCAACTTATCTGGCTGAGCTTATATGCCTGAGCTAGGGACTCTGAGGATGTGCATGTTGACCAACACAAATGGGCTGCAAAATTACATCGAAGACTGTTCGGATGTACACTCGTAAAAAACTTGAAACACCTTAAGCATCCTGAGGCGAGCTAGAAGTTTATTTGGTTAATATTTAGTAAATTCAGCTTAATCTATTCATTTTGGTCCTAGTTGCATGTTGGTGCCAGGATGGTGCATTACAGGTTATCCCCCTCTAGAAAGTTGTTGGGTTATCGGCAACCTTCACCCCTAGAAAGCAGCTGCGAGGCGATTACACAACACCTTTCCATGTTGGTGATAGAATAGGTGGTATGTGAATCTCCGAAGCTAGTGGGACTATACACACCTACGAGGTAAGAGAGTTTAGCATCTAAAAGTAAAGCTTTTCACAGTGAGCAAAATCTCTTGAAGCTTCCGTCTACCTTTCCTTATTGATCCTTAATCTATGAAGGAGTGCACAAAAAGAAAATCGGCACAAAAAAGAACTCCAGAACGATCCGAGCAACATCATTAGGGATAAACTGTATTTCTTGTACTCTACAAAGAGAATATTAGCATAGTAAATAAAAAGCAAAGACGTACCAAAAGTGAGGTGAATACAGTAAAATAAGTAATGAACAACGAAAAAGCTTCCTCGTTTTTATACTCTTGAACATTTTTGTTTTACTTTTGAGTCTTCAATCTTTTTAGTACTGAATAAGAATTTCAAATAAAAACTTTAGGCATAAAAATACAAGAAAAAGATATGTGCAACGTTAAATATACCAACAATATAAAATTTGTACAAGGGCTAATTAAAAAGAATCTGCATATCGTTTAGGCCAGTCCACTCGCCTCCAAGTACGTGTAGAAAGTACTGTGTCAGTGCTATTAGCGATGGTTTTTTTAGACGATTTAGGATATTTGCAACTATATGAGTTTTTTTATAGAGTCTATCGGCAATGGTTTTCTTAATCATGTTTATGTACAGGGAAGTGGGTCGTCTCCATATGCGCTGCCTTCAAGCCGTCGACACTTATGGTATCTTGCCGTCTATCGATTACAAAAACGTTCTATTGTTGATAACCTTGAAGGTTCCGTCGTATGGTGATTGTAAAGGTTAACGTACAGCATCACAATGCTTAAAGAAGTGTGTACAGTCTTGGAGTTTTTTATTCAACTCCACCCGTCTGTGAATGGGGGTTGGAGACGACGCATGTGAAGCTTAAGAGTTTGCGCACAACCGTGGATATCGGTAGAAGTTGGGTTACTACCATATGAAGCGACCAGTTCACCGGACAAACTCAGGTTACTACGATAAATTAACTCAGCAGGAGTACACTGTATATCTGTCCTAAGTGTAGAACGAATGATGAGAGGAACCAATGGCAGAGATTCAGTCTATTTTATATTGTCGACTGCCATTAGCGCAGCATTGAGATGTCAATGAAACTCTTTACGAAATCGTTAGAAGTTGGATGATATACAAATGCGTTTGCATCATCAGCTTCTGGAAGGTAACAGATTCAAACTGTTGCCGTCGGTCAGTTGTCACTGTAGTAGGGCTTCCAAACAGTGAGGTAGAGTGCACTACAACGGTCTGGCGATGCAAAAGTTGAAAATAGGATTATGTATCCAAGGTTGACTTTATCATTCATTGTTCTCAGCCACTTTCCAGTTCCTAGGCAAACTGTGTCTCTGTTTCCATGTTGTTACTCGATAAACTGTTTTAACTCAATTACTAACTTCCCATTCCATTTGTTACTATCAATCGTTTACGTACTCGTTCCGAATTCCTGAATTATTGATTTCAACCAACATTTAATTATTCATGGTATTAAATATTTTTCTAAAACTTCTTAAGTAACTTCTATTTCTGTGTTATTCTCCAGGCCATCTGCAACTAACAATTAACTGACAGAACTTGACACATTTGTTTGCCAGTTCGTGTTTACGCCAGTTATGTTTAAATGTGACTACACATCTGCTGAGGATACTATTGCCGGAAACTGGTTTTTTCACTGAAGTCTCTCTTCCTTAATGGCTAAATAGGAATATTTAATTCAGTAGTATGTGCAGAACAATTAAAAGCTACTGAATAACCACTTGGTAATGAAGAGTGAATAAACATCTGCTACTGTAACCGATTTTCGCCTATTTCACGTGTTACTAATGGTTCAATATAAATGATACGCGACTTTGTCAACTGAATCATTTCAAGGTTACAATCTCAGGGAATAGATTCCTTCAATTATCTCAAATTTTATATTGAACATCAAGCTAACTGGTGACTTTTAAGTTGGCATTTTATTACAGACTGACATCAGCTGGAAGACGATTGAAAACCTAGAAGCGTTGGTCAGTTGGTTCGTCCTAATAAAAGCCTCTCTAGCAGTCTTCATCAATGGCTCCACCAGAAATCATACCAAAGACATACAGTTTCCGCTTTGAATAAGTAAAAACCTCCAAATTGAATTAGAGTTCAGTACTGATTAATGAATTTCTTCCAGAGGAGGGTTTTCTGAAGTTGTGACTGTTGGGATAAATCATGTTGGACGTGGAACACCGGAATAAGATGAAGACTGCGCTATGTCGCAAACTGATTTTTTATTATTTTTCCCTTGGGTTCCTAGTGGAACATAGTGCTTCAGTAGCACACCATCACATTCTCTTCTCTAGTCTTTTGAACCTGGCACCATGACTGTCTACAAGCTTTCATTTCTTCCTCACATGATCTCCTACATGTCACCCTCACCTCGGACACCCAAATCGTCGTTTCCTCTTTGTCGCGAACTGATGGAAGTAGGGAAATAGTGGACCAGTTGACAGCAACTTACTGACCTAATGTTAACATAATCCCTACGAAGCCTGAAGTTGCTGGGTTTGATCTCTGACTGGATCATGAGTGCGCACTGCTAAGGAGTCTCATACTTGGAGGAAAAAACTACCCAGGTTTTAAATGGTTTCTTCACAGTCATCAGTCCATGATGAAGACTAACTTGAAAGTGACAGTTTTATGAGCTGTAAACAGTGCTTACGAATGTTCTAGCGCTTATCTAGGTGGCTTGAAACCCTGAGGCTTCTTATCGACTGCCTCCAATCAATTAATATAGATGTGAGATTCTCAATTTCAAAATGTATGTAGCGAAACTCGAAAATGGACTACTTATATTTGTTACAGTAATTGTATACAGATTTATACAGGTTGTATGCAGCTGACAAGAACTTTGTGAAACAAAACAATGTCATCGTATTCTGCAAATAATGTTCACACTGAGATATTAGATTAAATTCAAAAAGGTGACAAAGCAATTGACTGTTAAACTGTGTTCAAATAACATAAGGAATTACACAATGTGATAGTTTATTCAGTGAAAAGAATTGTCAATTTGAGGTTATCTTAGTTTACACTTGAAAGAGTGAAGAGAGTGATTCCGCAGTCATTCATTGTTGGATTTACTTACATTGTCTATCTTTTGTCCTTTGGAAGATACCGAAGTCAGTCAGTTAGTTCTGGAATATGAAGCCAAGGAACACAAGAAAACATCAACTAGTCATTGTATCTACTTTAGTCTGATCGACTCATGTTGATTAGAGTAATGCAGGCTATAACTAATTTAGCCAATATCTGAAGAAAAATTGTGGTAATTAAAATGAAACTTGATCTTGACAAGTATTCATATGATTACAGGCAAAAACCAGCAACTCGAAAGAAGAGGCAGGCGACTTCAGGTGAACGTAGAGAAGATAGAGCTGATGAAGATACCCAACCAACAACAACAAGCACCGATAACCATTAACGGGAGAAATCTAAAGAAGTTGTCTCTTTCACCTACCTGGGCAGCATCGTTTCAACTACAGGCGGCGGCGGCGGCACAGATGATGATGTCAAAACCAGGATCGGAAATACAAGACAGGCTTTCACTAGTCTGAAGTTGGCGTAGAGATCTACTGCATTCAGCATAAAGCGTCAGTGTTTCTATATGGTTCAGAAACTTGGTGCTTCGCAGAAAGCATTTTCAACAAACTACAGACATCAACAACTGCCACCTACGCTCACTTGATACTGAAGATCAGATGGCCAGAAGGAATGAGGAGAAAATAACCCACTCTTGCTGAAAACGAACCAACCAACAACCTTTTGCTCAAAATGTACGCAGAAGGAAGCGGAGAGGGATTGGATATACACTGAGAAAACCATTTGGAGACATCACGCGCCAGGTACCTCTTAGTTGTAAAAGAAATCTGATTCACTCACTGTGTTCCAGAATCTATAAAATCTGTTTCAGTAGGCACGGTGGATGTTCAGATCGAAACTCTTAGAACAACACTATCTAATAACGGAAATCCTAACAGATTTATTGATAGGAATCTGAAGAAACGAACCACTCCCCATCGCATTACAATCCCTAAGAAAATTTTAACCATGAATCTAGAATTCAAAGGAGACACCATAGGGGAAGTGCTGACAAACCGTCTGTCAAGGTGTACCAGTAGTAGCTTCTATGCTGCTAGACTGAGATTGATATTCTCCAGCCCCCATCCGATTCGGCAATAAGTGAAGCAAAGGCTTCCACTTTTGTCCAACCATTTTCAGTGTAATAATCTATCATTTTATTGCGTATAAATACAACTATACACCTTGATAATGTAGTCGTTGTAAAGAAATGCTTATTCTTCACTGATACACATCCTGTTCCTTTTTATGAAAAGAGAACTTATTCACTGAATTTTATTGTATAAAGACAGATATGAACACTGACATCCATATACGATTAGACCTTATGAAAGTTTATAAAAGTGAGTTTGAATATGATTCCAGTGTTCTTAGAAAATCAAAATAACATTTTTGTGAATGTTTCACAATGCAAACCACAACTTCTTTAGCAGACTATTTGAATCAGTTTCCATATACTTGATACTTGGTCAATGAACCCAGTGAAGAAGCTTAGATATGAAAGTTTGTAATGAAGAATAGTTAGTAACAGTGAAGTTCAGAAAGCGCATTTCATCCTGTTGAAGACTCATCGGCTAGATTAACATGTATCCCAGTGAACGATAGTGTTCTTGTTAAAACTAGCTATTCTAACTCAGTGACGTAGCAGATGATGCTCTGGTATTTGAAGTGATTGACCCTTCACTCGAGTCTCAATGAGAGAAACATCATCCACTGGGAGGCAGAAATATCCAAGTGATGAATCCTAAGTAGGGTGAGATGTCCGTCATCGATTTCATCACTAGCCATTACTTATCATTCATATCAAACTGATAATATTAAGGCATCCTCCAAGGAGTCTATATACCAATGGAAACCAACAAGTTCGATCTAATCAACAACGAGCAAATACAAGGACTAATATAAATTTCATTCTTCTTCTTTTCCTCTAGGTATCGTTTAAAATATCATGAAAATATTTTAATAAACATTCTTCAAAATGGATATCATGAAACATTTTCAGAAATATTTTATTTAATTAACTTTGAAGAGAAAAGACGTTTAAACGGTGGTATTTCATCTTCATATTGGTTTGTTCAACCGTTAACTGAACGATATCATCTACTTTGTGAATTAATGAAACACTTAATAAATGCAGAAAATTATTCTCGTTTAAATAGAATAGAAGATGTCTATAAAGAAAATTTATACTTAGCAGGATTATTTCGTTCAAATCCTAATGATGATTGGTTACTGCAATTTTATATACAAAAATGTATGAAAATTGTTAACAATAGTTATTTAATTATTAAAAACTTGTATAAGAATCAAAACAAACAGCAAAATTTATATGAAATGAAAATGTCACTTAAAAAGTGTTTATTTGAAGCAATATTTCATACTGCTACTTATTTGTATGAAACAGGTAAAGTTAAACAGCATTTATGTTCTCATTTCTTATTGGTTGATTTTAACGAAGATGGATTAACCAATGAAATGCTCAGAATACATAGGTAACAGGTGATTGGCTTAAATAAGACCCAATCAACAGCCAGATAAAATAAGAATCTACAACCAATATCATTGACTATGTTAATCAGCTGATCGTTCCCATTATCAGATGTACTAACTTCTGCAAGCATTATGATTCCTCAAGAATTTATAATTCAAGTTAATTTCGTAAATTTAAAACAGCCAAGATAAACAAGGAAGCAGAATATAATGAATTCATCTTTTCCGACAGAATTTTTCAAGTAAAACCTACGCAAATCCGGTCACATATACCATAAGTAAATATAAAGAGGGATGCAAATCGTTTAAAAATAAGGCTAGAACGAAGTACTATCTTTTTTCTTCCTACAAGTCAAGTGAATGTTTGAAGAGATGAGGATTTGTTCCGAAACTCGTAAACTTAGTAAATACCACTTTCTTAAATTTTGTTACTTGTTCGATAAAAAAGAAGTACTTTTACTAACAACAATAAAAGACACTTTGTGATGATTATAACTTCACTAAAAGTTGACAGTGGTTTTCTTTATTTATTGTTGAATGATCTTTAGAAGTTCAGCCCCACGTAAAAAATGAATACCACATTTCCTTGCAAAGTTTTCGTCTAAAAACAGTTATGATTGAAAGAAAGAAAATCTTCATCTAAATTACTTATCATCTACATAAATAAATTGTAGTAGTTTTGGTATCATACTTGTGAAAGAAGTAACTGAAAACTATTGACTCAGACAAAATAGAAGGATATTTTAAACGATATTATTTTTGATTCAGATGTCAACATTTACTTTTCAAATGATTTTTGGTTTATTTTATCGAGAATTTCCGTTATCATTGTTCCTGTTTAAATTCGCCGTAGACATACCAATGTACGTAATCCTAGGTAACTCTGGCTTATCACAGATTAACTTATGCCTACGGATGCAGCTCGTTTTCTTGGACAGCAAAGATGACGTAATCGTTTTGTCGTAAATTTTCCATCATCAGGGCTGATGACATCCTCACAATCAACTTTGGTGGTGAGTCAACACTTCTGAAAAGTCCCGTCCTGGGATGAAACAGTTTTCCAATGCTTCTAGATTCTCAATGTTTCTGAGAATGATGTCAGCCCGTGATAAATACTAACTTGAAATCAATAAATAAATCCCCACAAACCTCTAAACTGAATGTAATGACGTGAAACGATCAACTTTCTATATTATTTAATGTTTAAAAGAAATGATATTTTTAAGTGATTTTTCCTGTTTTTCCTTTTGACAAATGATCCCTCCAGGAAAGTACCAGCAATCCTTAGATCTTTATAAAGATTTACATCGAAGATTACAGAAACATTTGGAATTTTTAAAACCTTCAATAAATCCTTTTGAAGAAAATCAGTCAACAGTCTTCTTAAATACTATTTGTTGTCAACAGATATGTAAATCAATTTTAGCTATTTATAAACCTGGTGAAGATTATCAGGTGAATGAAATTATTTCACGTTTGAATGAAGCCTTAATCTACGCTAAGAAGTGTAAGTTCTTTGATAGTTTTCATGGTGATTATCGTTTATTCTTTACAAGATGATTCCTTTACTATGAACTATAGTCGACCGTCAGTTTACAATGTCGTTACACCATCATAATATTCACTGTGAAAATATGACTCATTGGTCTAAGGATTTGATACTTCAAACCATTGGTCATGAGCTAGAATCCGACTCCACCAACCAAGATTTGTGCAGTGAATTAGTATCATACACAGTAAGTGTGTAGCGCATTGTCTAAAAAAGTGAATAGGTGAATTAGTCAATTCAATGAGCTGATAGGATTAACAAATAATGAGACCAAGACTATTTGTCATTGGTTAGCGTTATTGGGATTGTTGAGTTAACCCCCATGACAATTTGTTATAACTTTATGTGATTGTTATTGTCTTCAGGAAGTGATTCTGATCTTGAACGAGATTTGTGTTGAATATACTTGTCCACTTTTGTACACGCAATCCACTTAGACGATGAGTCACACAATTCGATCCACTTATTCAAACACTTACAACAGAATACAAAGTCTAGTGCTAATTGTCCGTATTATATTTCAGGTGATGTGATTCATCCATTTATATAAGACTGAATTACCTGACAACAACGCATCATAAATTATAACAATGAAACAACTGATTACAAGCACAAAAAGGAGGACAATGTACATGTCCTCGACAGTTTTCAACTACTAACTGCTATCATTTTGACCCTCTGAGACAGTCATGTTTTGGCAGACTCGTATGACTGATACTGGGTGATGATTGTAGTCTACCAAACCACGACTATCTCACACAATCAAAATGATAACCAATAAAATGCTCCCCACCTCTCTAATTCAATTAGATTCGGATTTGGTTGAGAAGTCTTGACTGTAGGCAGTTAGTAGGAGTACTATGAAGTGGCAGTAATGGTAGTAAGGCAAAATAATCCTTGGTGAAGTCGAACCTCCTAACTCAGTTGGTATAGCAACGAACCGGAAACCCTCTTATCGCTGGTTTAAATCCAGTCGTGGTCCAAATTTTCATTTCATCTTCAATCATCACCTAGTATCAATGCTAATCTCTAACCTTTCGAGGACTCCCACTAGGTGGCTTTCACTTTTGTATACTGTTGAAATCGATAGTCGGAGAATTTAGCGACTAATCACACAAACCTTGACTTGGTTCCCTCTTAACTTTCAATTTGACATGACGTAATATAGGTGTGTATATACAGAACTCGTTAAATCATAGTATATCAAAACAACTCATAGGGAAAATTTCAGTCTGACTAAGTTTTCTCTCTATTTTTTTCTCTCTTTATTTAAAAACAAACTAACTGAAATATAGCAGAAAATGAAAACCTTGTAGGATTATGCAACAAACAAATTGGTCAGGTATATCAAAGTGATGGACAATATGAATTAGCCTATCAAGTATGCACATCAAGTAAAAGAGCATAACATAATTTAATTACTTTTCCTTCCCCCTTTTTTAAAGTTGGTAGTCATCTTATTGATTCAGAAGTAGATTTCATTCAGTAGATTTGGATTTCAATTGGCGGACATTCCACTGTCAAGTTAGATAGGATTATCAGTGCAGATCACCTACAAATGAAATGATTCGTTTACTTCAGTGTGAAAATCTATTGATAATTGGGTGTATATGCACGTTTATAGCGAGACTTTTATCAGCCATTCAGTTACAGATTTCTTCTACTAATGTACTGATTTACTGTAAGGAATATTTTCACAGTCTCAAATAGAACGTCATGCAAAACAACCACATGTTCATCAGTTCCACGGCTTCCAATTCTGATGTGGCTGGTGTCGGGCTAGGACGTGGGTACCAATAACAATCGAAACGAGTAATAACATAACGAGATACTTGGACTGGATAAGAGTAATGCAACTGTTCTCCCCCACACCTGATACTTCATCGAGACGCGAAAATCAGAAGACAGAAAATGAAGCCACTAAATCACCAATCAGCTGCAAGGACAAAACTGTTCAGTAAAATTATTTGACCAATCAAGATCTGACTGGACACAAAATCAAGAAAAGGAGTAGATGAAGCTTCAGACCACCACCTAGTGCAAGTAACCTTCGAAATAAAGTTGTAAGCCTTCAAAGAAGTTGGTGATAGACCACAGTTCAAGTTCAACACACAGAAACTGAAGGACAAAACTACAAAAGACATCTTCATGTCAGTCATCAGGACAAAATGGGAGACATTGACCAAAATCCCTGAAGGAATCTGTGTCGAAGAACACTGGAACTCTTTGACAGCTATATGAAAAGAAACATGCATAACCATATTAGGAAGCAAGAGGAAACAGGACAAGGAATGGATCTCGATGGACATATGGAAGCTGATAGAGCAGGAAGAGGAAGATGGTGAAGCAGAAGATGAAACAGTGCAGTGCAGGGATGAACAACGAACAGAGGAACTGAACACAACCTATAAAACACTGGACAAAGAAGTGAAGAAAAGTGCATGGAAACACAAAAGACACTTACTTCTACTACACACTTGCAAGGAAGCAGAACAGGTTGCAAGTAGGAGTGACCTGACAACACTATATCAAATAACCAAGTTACTGTCTGGCAGGGAAGAGATGAACACAGATGAAACCAATGAAGGATAGTGAAGGAAACCTAGTTACCAAAGGGAGAGGAGAAACAAAGGAAACGATGGGCTGACCACTTCGAAAAACTCTTGAATCGACCACCACCATCTGCAACTCATCCAGAAACACCATCATCAGCAACCGCAGAACTACCAGTGAACACAGGCCCTCCAATAAAAGCAGAAGTCCTCAATGCCATAAAGTTACTAAAATGCTGGAAAGCAGCAGGACCAGGTGGAATTCCACCACAAGCAAGCATTGAAAACAAACACAAAGAAAACAGTGGACATGCTCACACCACTGTTGCAGAAGGTTTGCAAGGAAGGGAAGGTACGCGCTGATGGATTGGAAGAAGGGCTACCTTGTCAAACTCCAAAAGAAGGGCGACCTAAGTCTCTGAAAGAACTGGCGGGGAATCAAGCTTCTGTTCACCCCAAACAAAATATCATGCCGCATCATCCTAGAGAGATTAAAGGATGCATTGGATTCAAAATTACGACCGGAACAGCCCGGCTGTCTGGAAGAACAAATCATATGGGGATCAAATTGCAACGCAACACTATGCATCATCATAGAACAGAGTACAGAGTGCCAGTCAACTCTACACCTCAACTTCATCCACTTTGAAAATGACTTTGACAGCGTCGACCGAGAAGTAATTTGGCAGCTGCTTCAACACTACGGAGTGCCACAAATCTTTGCCAACCTCATTCAACAACTATATGACGACGCTACATGCCAAGTAATTCACAATGGGAAGCTCAGTGATGCCTTTAAAGTGTAGACAGGAGGAAGACAAGGCTGTCTACTATCACCCATAATCTTCCTCATTGTGGTGGACTGGATCATGCAGCGAACCGTGAGGAGAGAGAAAATGTGCATAGGGTGGCTGGACCGATGGAAAGACCCCAGAAGAAGATTTGGATTACACCAACGATGATGATTTATGTCTAATGTCTCACAAACTGGAAGGTGTACAGGCGAAAACTAGCAAGTTGATAGAAGAGGTAGGGCAGCGAAGGCGGGACTGCAAGTGAATGTAGAGAAGACAGAGGTGATGATCATACCCAAACAAGTCCACCACCAACAACAACAAGAAGTTCCAATCACCATGAAGGGGAGAAACTTAAAGGAAGCAGCCTTTCTCACCTATCTAAGCAGAATCGTTTCAACTACGCGCGGCACAGACGAGAATGTCAAAACCAGGATTGGAAAGATAGCAAGACAGGCTTTCATTAATCTCAAATCACTGTAGAGTTCTGCACTCAGCACAAAGAACAAGATCCGGATTTTGAACACCAACGTCAATCCAGTGCTGCTATGTGGCTCAAAAACTTGGCGCGTCACGAAAAGCATTCCCAACAAACTAGAGACATTCATCAACAGCTGCCTACGCTCGTTACTGAAGATCAGATGGCCAGAATAATGAGAATAAGTAACAAGAAACTCCGGCTGGCAACGAACCAACCAAGAACCCATTACCCAATAAAAATATGCAGAAGAAAGTGGAGATGGACTGGATTGGGTATACACTGAGAAGGTCGACTGGAGACATCACGCGCCAGGTCAGGTACTCGATTGGAATCCAAAGGCGAAACGACGAGTTGGGTGTTCGAGGTGAGGGTAACATGGAGGAGATCAATGTGAGGAAGAAGTGAAAGCTTGTGGGCAGTGGTGGAGCCATGTTGAAAAGACTTTAGAGAACAGAATGAAATGGAGGCGTGCTACTGAAGCCGTATATTCCAGTAGGAACCCAAGGGACAAATAATAATAATAATACTCAGGATCTGAAACGAAAATATTTCGACCCCAACGGCGAATGACCTTGAATGATGATTTCCTTTTTTAGCCACTTCCTAACAAATTATTAGAAGAAAACGTCAACTGAGGTTAGAAAGAATTCAACTGAAGAGAAAGGACACAAGAGAAGAGATAATTGATAACCTTCACTTTTCCACGCTAATAATTTCAGCGATCATAAAGTATGAATTCATCTTTACCGTTTTAAGTGGTTGCAATTCATGTCACCAAGGGTCTACAATCATTGTTTCATGATTTCTTTCAAAACCCTAGTTAGGGTTTCTCTTCTGAAAAACTGAAATGCATAATTATATAACGTTTATATATATATATATATATATATATATATATCAAAGTAGTATATAAAAATATGGATTTACTTTGGTTGGAGAAAAATGCTAAACCTTGGGATACTGAGTAGATGTTTCTCCCCAGTTTGAAACTGCTCATCAGCATACACTTATTTCCTTATGAAGCATAGAACCCAACCAGTGCATTACCATTCACTCAATTGGTTGAGATTCAATGATCCACTTTTTCTACTCCTGTTAGTTCACAATACGATGAGATTTCAATCCAGTGTAACCAGTGGATATTTGTCTCACATTTGAAAATATCTATCACAGTCTATGCATGTAAATACTGAGATTATTATAGATAGATATTAAGAAAGAGGTTATATTTTCAATAATGAAATCGGCAGCCTAATAAGTGAAATTTAGTAATGATGGATAGTGGCTAGCAGTGGAATCCAGGATGCGCGTTGCGTCCTGTTTGGGACTCGGCAGCTGGATGTACCTGCTTCCTGGTGAGTGATGTTCCCATCGGGATTCTATATTGCCAGTAGGGACCGATCAATTCGCTCCAATCAACGACGGTATGATTTAAAAAACAATTATACTAAGTGACATTTAGTTTGTATTAAAATCCATGGAATGGTATCACTTGTGTACACATCTATGATGCTTTACTCAATAGTGGTTTAAATGATTAGGAATAAGTAATACACAACATGAAATCTGAAATTACAACGTAATCCTTCAACTCTGTCACGTGTCATATTAACCCATAACTGAAATGACATCTAGACAAGGAATAGAGAAGTAAAGAGGGGAATAATCAGAAGTTGTAAAAAGTAGTGAAAAGAGAACAGTGTAGAATCATGAAATTCAGTATGATGCTTCAGAATAAACTAATGCGTGGATACATTTGTGCCATGTGATAATCCCTGATTTCTTTTGTAACGTGTCGACTCCTCACCAGAATGTATACATTCCCCTACATAGCCCAGACTATTAGTCATGAACTGACGTCATCATTTGTGGGGAACGGGATTAGAAACGGTTTTCAAGTAGTGGGGGTATAGTTATGCTATGACCGGTAGTACAATGTAACAGTCTATGAGCTATGTAAGCCTAGTACGAGCGTAGAACGATATGAACCTAACGCGCAAAAGAATCAGTACGTCAACCACCACCACCACCACAACAATACCACAGACAGGTGAAGACAAAAAGAGGAGGCAGACCGTTGACACAGAGCTTTTTATTGTCTCAACAACAGTCAGTACAGTTGACAACGATGCTGAATACATACTTTTCCGAATGACCTTGAAAACACTAAACCCACATTTCTTCTAACAGCCAATGAGAATTCAGCCTTGAAAGGAGAGAGAAGAAAAACAAGTAATGGTGTGAAAACAGCTTTGTAGGTTAAGATGATAGGCAAAACAGCAGGTAAAGATGTACAAAATTAGGGGTATATAGCAAGTTAATATATTATATGTACGCCCTTGAAAACTGTCAAAGTGTATCCACTACTTTACACTAAGATAATCAGTAGTATTTTGAGAAAATTTGTAATATTTCTCCACTCACATTACTTTTCAATGAGAAAGTTCACCACAAAATTTAATAGTCTGTTACAGGTTTACAGATAAATAAAGCATAAATACCTCTTCAGCATTTTTTGGTTGTGTTACTTTAAATCGTCATTCACTGATTCATAATATCTGAAAACAAATAACCTGGCCACTTGGATTGTTGTATCATCAAGTGTAACATCTTTGTGAATTGCTGTCATATCTTTGTTTGAATGAATATGTTACTTCCTAGTACAATTTCGTTGTGATTCTCGGATACACTTACTTAAAAATGCATAATCTAGTTACTGAATGAAGGTTACACTACTTTACAACTCAGTCAGTTAGCACAAGAAGAAAATAATACTGAACTCATGAGAGTTTACTGTAACTGAGATTATGAAAGTATGAATCTCTTGCGCTTACATATAATATACGTGCCTTTGGGGAGACCAGACAATATTTAGCATATTAAAAGTGGGACATTAACCAATAAGAAAACGACTTTCTTAAAAGCGGTAAACTTGAGCAATACACGTGAGTATGAGTGTTATGTTGTATACAATTTAGCATTACATCTTCCGAACCAGGCCAGAAACCCGATGGTCGTTGGTTCGAATCTGACCGCGGTCAAAATTTTCATTTCACCTTCAATTATCACTGAATATCAACAATAATCTACCAAATCTCGGCTATCTCAGACAGTGAAAGTGATAACTTCGTTTTTACTTGGTATAGAATTCACTTTTACTGGTACTCATCGGCAAAACATTTGCAAACGTCTTCAGGAAATTGATGTCACTTTGGAAATCCAAACCATTTTGATTGTCACATTAAAAGCTTGGTTGGTTAACCTAACAGCTACAATCTGGTGACCAGTTTGTGAACATAGATGAAGTGTTAGAATTCTAAAAGGAATCTTCTTTTTGCTTCTTGCTTCCAGTCTATGCTGTGAATCGTAATGATCAGCATGGAATATTCTTACGTCCCGTAATAAAAGTGTGTTGTAACTCGCTTCGCAGTGGAATCCAAGACGTGTCTTTCGTCCTATCTAGGGCTTCTCAGTCTGATATATCTGCACCCCAGTGATTGATGCTGCTCTCGTTTGGCATATATGCCAACAGAAATAACAACAGGAAGTTACTAGTATCAATGAATAATAAACGCTCATTTATCATATAACATCTAAGCGAAATATCTCGAGAAATTTCCCTCAGGTAATGGGAAGGCAATACAAACCATATTTTTGGTCTAACTAGTAATATTTATTGATATTTATGGATTGGTCGATTTGTGTTACATTTAGTTGTTGGTGGCTGGCAGTTGAATTCATAAACTGTGTTTTATCTTATTTTGAGACCCTTCAAGTAGATATACTTTCTCATTGAGACTGAAAGTTGACAGCTGTAACTTCAATCAAAGCAACCATCTACAAGGTTCTCACCTTGTTTTGTCTAGATTCTAACATTACATACAATGAAAATTTGCTCACTTCTATGAAGTAAATCATTTCGAATACTGTTTTGATTTAATTATTGAGAACTATTAATCGGAATACAATTTACAACTACTTAGTATTTATCATTCACTTTTTCTGATTACATTATCTAGATCACTTTCGTTGTAGAGTAGATTTTAATTTATTGTGTAACTATTTCAACTTCCTGGTGTTACGCTTGATTACTTTATTATCACCACCAAGTGACTATTGTTTTACTTATTCTTTTTTTCGATAAAACATAGTATGCGGAACAATATCTAACTGCTGCTGAACAATGTGATGATAAATTAGAAAAGATAAAAGCATACAAATTACTAGGAAGTATTAATGAAAGGTAAACTATTCAATGATTCAATGTTTTTGTTTTAATAAACTATGTCAAACAATTGAAGGCGCCAATTACAAACCCTGAATAATCAATCATCTTGTATGAATTAAAAATATTCTTCATGTAGATACTGTTAGTAATGTTCATGAAATTTTTAATACTTAACCTTTTAAAAAGTTGAATTGAAGACGATGATAAGGTTTTTTTGTGAAATATATTTGTGTATTTTTTAGATGAATAAGGATTTTAATTTAGAAGTAGTATTCATCATGGACTGACATCAGTTGGGGAACCAATGAAAATCTGGGAGCACTGGACAGCTGTTTCGTACCAGTATGAGACTCCTCAGCAGTACACACCCACGACCCCGGATAGGAATCGAACAGAAGACCTTCAGGTTTCACGGCGAACGCAATAACCATTCAGTCATTGGGTCGGTTTTCATTGGTTTACAATTTCCAAATTCTATCATGAAGTTCTAATGAGAAGTCGTGACCTCAGGGGGTCAACCAGTCAGAAGTGAAGTGGATGCTAACTGAAGACCCTAGGTGATAATCGCGCTATATCGTGAATTGACAGAAGTTGGAAATTGTGAACCACTGAAAACCGACCCAGTGACTGAATGGTTGACGCGTTCGCCTTGAAACCTGAAGGTCTTCAGTTCGATCCTTAGCCGAGTCGTGGGTGCGTACTGCTAAGGAGTCTCATACTGGTACGAAACAGCTGTTCAGTGTTCCCAGATCTTCGATGGTTCCCCAAACTGATATCAGTCCATAATGAATACTACTTCTAAATATATTTGTCACTGGTAACAGTCTTGAGTTGAGGAATGTTATCATATTTCCTTTCAAAACCGAGAAACATGAATTGTTATAAATAAGAAGTCCTGATCGGTACGAGAAATCATGTCGAATGTGAGAACAGTTTACTTAACAATGTTCAATCCCTAGCAGGCTGAAAAATTCCATACTAGGATGAAGCAAGCAGCTGTTCAGTACTCCCAGATTTTCAATGTTTGTCAGTCTGTGATGAATATCAATTGAAAATAAATAAATAAATCAAGAACAAGATATTCAACGAAGAGACTCTTCTCAGCAAATTTGTTTTCAATCTGTTTACAATCGTATGTATATATGATATTTGAAAAATTATATCCTATGAGGAAAGCTAAACACTGTTTGCTGATGGTATAGGTACTTGTGATTACGATAACAGTTGGAGATTACGTAATCTACACAAGATGGTTCATAGAAGGTACATAACTCAGAAAGGGGTGAAAAAATTGACGAAAGTGGTAAATCAATTAAGTAGTATGTAATAAGATTAGACAAGTTGGTCAAGATGAAATCAATGTCTTCGAAAAAGGTTAAGTGAAATAACACCAGAAACTAATCAAACTGAAGGCAATTTATAATAACAATAATAGTGAAAGAGGATAAGATACAACGGTTAACTTAACAAAGGGGGGAAGAGAAACTAATGAGGGTGAGAAAATGTTATGGCCATGGTAAAAGACAGTGACTGTACATACTTCTTTTGTACACACGCAGATCAGGTTTTAGTACTTCATGAATAACTAAAGCTTCTGATGTGTTAAGGAGTTGAAAACGAAGAAAACGTGGGAGGTTTGGGCGAATTTGATAAATAATTTCAAAGTCATCGTCTGGATTTATTGTGTGATGGAAATCAATCAAATATTCTAGAATCGAACTTCTAACAGACTTTCTTTCATCTTTGTAAAATCAAGCTGGAACATGTTCTTGTATATGTGTAGAAAACATTCTGTGGCTACGACTGATGTACCTTGCTCCACAAGAGCAGGTGAACTGGTAGATGTACATCGAAGGGGCGAAATGATGAAGCTTATCTTTAACACAAATGGAGAATAGTTTACGCCTGGTAAAAGTCGACTAAAGTTTTTGGGTAAAGAAAATTTTATTGATTGATTTGCATAGATAATGTTTGGTTACCCTTAAATTCTAGGCTCATGAACAATATTTTCTTTGATATCCAGTGGATGACCAGTTTAGTATTTCTTTCCCATATATTTTTATCACTAAAGGGGTACGGGTAACGGTTTTCGACAAGTGTGCTTTTTATAAACGACAGGTCTTCTTCATCAATACAATCCTCACTACAGATATTTCTTATTCGATAAGAGATGCTGGAATCAAAAGGAAATGGAAGGCTATACATACATATACATGTTAAAATTACATACAGTTACCAAGGTAAAGAAAGGTTAATTACAGTCTTCTTCTGAGTACATCAGCTCTATCGGCTGGCTTAAGCATCCAATGGGACCTAATAAGCAAAATAATATAATCTATCGAATTCCATGTAATCACTGCGAGCGAGATCAAGATACATAGGACAAACTGGCCGGTCGAGTTGAGTTAGAACATAAGGATTTAACTTAATATAGACTGGCAGACTCCAATAAGATCAATAATATTGAAAAACGGACTCAGCTATTGCAATATATGCATTAACACATAACCTCACAGTAGGATGAATGGGATAGTGCCACTGTACTTAAATCCAATACAATTAGGTGAAGAAAGAGACAGATTGATTACTAAATTTTTGTTCATCGAATCAACCAACACCCGTCTATAACTAGAGATATGTAAAAAATCTTACTATCAATAGAAGTCATGAGTATGAAGTGATAGGACTATCGAAAGTGCTGTATGATCAATGATCCTTGAAATGCATTGCTCCTAACATGACTCATAAACATGATGAAAAGATTTATCACCTTATCACTTCCTGTTAAATGAGCCAACTTTACAGGCTATTCATCAAGTAATCGTTCAAATTTGATGAGATTTCAATGATTCTATCATTATACTACTAATCAATAAAGTTATCATTCAGTGTAGCGCTTAACTTGCCTATTGTCTTTATCTTTTCTTTTTTTTTTCTCGATAAAGCTTATCAAAAATTGATAATGCAGAAGAGAATTATAATCAACTTGTCGATTGTGCAAAATCTTTAAATGATTCAATTCATCTCATTGAAGCTTATGTTATATTGGCTAAATTTTATATTATAAATACACAAAAATATGATTTAGCCAAAGAAGCATCTGAAGTTGGATTGAAATGTATACAGAATCGTACCACCACCGCCGCCGCCACCTCAACTACCATGAATCAACTGAAATTATGGTATTCTATTTCAAAGTCTAAGCTAATAGAATCACAATATCTTAATACATTGATAGCTGCACAAACAAATCGTAAAGATATTATTGATTTAATAAAATGGAAGAATACACGTGATAATCTACCATTATTTGATGAAGAGTATTTTACAAAAGTAACATGTAAGCTTAAAACTGTTCTCTTACTTCTATGACTTAAGATATATCATGACATGATTTTGTCATTAAAAAACAAAAACAATCAGAATATCATTCGTATAGCTGAGAAGGATAATTTTGATGGTGTTATGTTCTCACTGTGAAGCTTTTATTGACAACTTCATCAACACAAACTTTAGAAAGAAGTGACCAATTAGGTTTTCTCTACAATTTATTTACTAGCTTGTTCTAATGACCTTGTGTGTAATTGGTTCATTCTCCCAAGGTCTTTTCATTGGTTATCTTGATAACCTAAAATTTGACCTGCCTCTTGTTTCTGATTGGTTGATAGATTGAGTCAATGTCAGTATATTTGTTGATTGTTAACTGATGTGAATACCAAGCTTCTTAAGATTCTATGACATACTTTGTATTTTCTCTCTTCAGGATATTTCCATTTTCACAGTCAGGGAGTGACGATTATTTCCGCTAGTGTTTTTCGTACTTTCTCCAGTCTAGTTCGTAGATAACGTTTGATTTGTCTTCCTTTGCTATTGTATCTTTTGACCTGCGATAACAGAGAGTGAAGAGATTTTGTGAGCTTAAGAGATACATCGATTGCCAAAGGCTTTAACAAATCTAGTGATAAACCGTTCGTCGATTTCCGACGGTGATTTTCCGGTTGGCTACGAATCAGAAAACCATCTTTTGTTGAAGTTGTGTGGGTAACCATTCTTCTAGGTAGTAAGTAAGGAATAGTTTTCTTCTTTTCATCGTGAAGTTGATGTACAACAGTGTATTATCACCGTTTTGAAAAGAGTTTTTATACAACTGATATTAGGTGCTGTTGTATTGTTGCTAATTTAGTTGAACATTTGATGTCTATGAGTTCCATTCATCCATCCAAATCAACATATGACCAGACATTACTGCACAACACTCCGAGTTGCCACAGCTCATTATCAGTACATCAAGTTAAGAAATATAAAGTACTAAAAGAGAAAAGGGAAAAATGAGAAAATTGTGGGATCCAGTATAACGTCGTTTAGATGAGGATCATATGTGTGCGGGTACATCTACGCCACTGACATCAGTTCTCAGCCATGTCATCACCTAGAGTCAGGCTCCAACCACTCATTCCTCTTGTCCCACAGACCCAAACCGACTAGTCTGTATCGCCCCCACATGGATCAAACTAACAGTCAACGACTACACTCTAACCGCCTCGAACCTTTTTCCAGCCTGAACCTATTTCGGTCAACATTGTGTGACGAGGCAGACGGTGACTAGGCCTACGTTACACATTCCCAGTCAGCCATCTCACTCGATGAAGGTTCACAACCATGTCCACTGACTGACCTCTTCTCCCTAAAACTCTACGTCTGATTTCTGTGTTACTCACATGGTGACACTATGGAATACGGTCTATACTACAACGTGGTCAAACATCTGAAGCCTTCTCATGTTTCCTACCTTCAATGGCCATGTTTCACAGCGACAGAACGGAGCGTACTGCTGTGCAGTACACGCGACCGTATGAGTTGGTTTTTAGTATACTTCAGTTTTCTTGAATATCCAAAAAAAAACGTTTTTGATTAATTTGCAAGTCATTTCCAATTCATTTCTATTAATGATGACGAACGTGTCATCTACACAACGGATAGAATATTGTGGTTTGTTCAATGTCAACGCTACAGTTTCAAATCGTTGCATTACTACTTCTGAAAGTAGTCTTGATTGATGCGATCCCATTGGTATTCTTTTTGTCTGTTTATGCTGATGATGTCGTCTAGGATGATGATGATGAAAGGTTCACGTTTAAACTATCCAACTCAGAGAATATAACACAACCATAAACATAATTCACATACTTTGCTAGTCAAATTAAGCTGAATGGATTCGAATTTGATAAGTTCATGTGTTACTTTTCATTATTAAAGGTATGATGGATCGGCTGTTCATTTCTTTTATCTATTATTTCATTACATTGCTTAAAATCTAAAATTTTTAGATTTTGTAATCAGTTAGGCCTTAGTCAAGGTTTTATACCTGTCAGAACTCATCAGGAAAGCATATCTATAGTTTACACTTGGTTCGACGTAGAGATTTTACCAATAAGTACTTTAAAGCATAACAGACTCCATTTTGGACCAGGTAATGTGTACGAATTGACCACCAGTGGTGAAAGTTTATCAATCAAACTTAGTGGCCACTCTTCACAGTTGGTAGGCAGACAGCAGTCAATACCAAGAACTAAACACTAGACGTCTACATCAATTCCATCCTGGTGACTATTCTTTTCCGTTAACATTCATTCAAAACGAAAAACTATCCTGAAATAATATTTGGCTGTGATTAGTTGTTGAATTCATCAGTGAAGAAGTGAATTAATGAAATGCATTGAGAGTTGAATCTTGTACTTGTAGTTGTATAATCTTATCAACTAGATCATCGATATCCTTTACAGTTGAAATGACCTATCATTCAATTTCCTAATGTCTTTTTGCGTAAAGGTTTTCCATTATTCTTGGAGGATACATTCATAATGCGTTCATTATTCCCCATTGTGACATTAGAAAACGAGATATTCAGTGAAGATGACTCTTTTCAACGAATTTATTCTCAAGCTGTACATTAGTATATGTATGATATTTAAAAACTGTAAACCATGAAGAAGATTTAACTGAAATAATGGGGTTACTATTTATGGACATACTTGTTATTCTGCGTTGTTTGTTTTGTTGGATCGAATTGTCCGACCACTAATGGCATATGGGCTCCTATGCCGATGCCTCAATATTGCATGAATGTTGATTATGAAAATTTGGTTGATTGTGGCTAGCAGAAGAATCCAGGATGTGCATTTTGTCCTGTTAGGGACTCGTCAGCTGAATGTATCTGTACCCCAGTGATGTTGTTCCCACTGAGACTCGAACGCCAAGTCGTTATCCACTATACCACAGAGGAACGATAGCCACTTCTTGTACAACGGGTGATAGTTATTACTATTTATTGACATCCTTGTTATTCTGCATTGTTTGTCTTGTTAGATCGAATTGTTCGACCTCTAATGGCCTATGGGCTTCTATGCGGATGCCTCGATATTTTTAATGGGGGTTGAGAAACAATAATAATGATCGTGGTAATAATTATAATGTTGATAGTTGATAACGTAAAGGTCGAATGATAACAAAATGGGGTTACATAAGACTTTCAAATCATTTATAGTGTATATAGATTAAAAAAAGGGGTGAGAACGCTCATAAACAATCAAAGGTGATTAAGTAATATAAATTAGTTCTCCTTTAGGTTCCCAGTAGAACATACCACTTCAATAGCACGTCTCCATTTCACTCTCTTCTCTGCAAACTTTTGAACCTGGCTCCATGACTGCCCGCAAGCGCTCATTTCTACCTCACACCACCTCCTCTATGTCAGCCTCGACTCAGACGTCCAACTCGTCGTTTCCCATCTGGGTTACACTCGAGTGCCTGGCCTGGCGCGTGATATCACCAGTCGGCCTTCTCAGTGTATGCCAAATCCATCTCCACTTCCTTCCTGTGCATATTTGTTGGGTGATAGGTCCTTGGTTGGTTCGTTGCCCATCCAGCCAGAGTTCCTTGTTGCTTATTCTTATTATTCTGGCCATCTGATCTTCAGCGTCGAGTGAGCGTAGGCAGTTGTTGATGAATATCTGTAGTTTATTGGAAATGCCTTTCGTGAAGCGCCAAGTCTCTGAACCATACAGAAACACTGACTTGACTGACATTGGTGTTGAAAATCCGGATCTTGTTCCACATGTTGAGTGCAAAAGTTCTTCACCCTGGTTTCAGGTTAATGAAAGCCTGTCTTGCTATCTTTCCAATCCTAGCTTTGACGTCCTCGTCTGTGCCACCTGAAGTTGAGACAGTGCTGCCTAGGTAGATGAAAGAGGTTACTTCCTTCAAGTTTCTTTCTCCTGTTGATGGTGATTGTTGTCGGTTGTGTATCTTCATCACCTCTGTCTTCTCTACATTCACCTGAAGTCCCGTCTTCCTTTGCTGCCTCTTCTGTCAACTTGTTAATTTTCGTCTGTAGATCTTCGAGTTTGTGTGACATTAGACACAAAGTTGAAGATCTACAGGCGAAAACTAACAAGTTGACAGAAGAGGCCAGGCAGCGAAGACGGGACTTCAAGTGAACGCAAAGGAGACAGGTAATATAAAGTGATAATGACGATAAATGAGGACAAAGATTAATCTGATAGAAAAGGGGGTAGGGGAAAAGAGAAAAACAGTGGACGAAGTACACAAAGACCAAAATAAGTTACGACCAAGGTAGAGACGAAGACTGTGCATACTTCTTTTGCACACAAAAATCAATCTTCAGTTCATGGATACCCAAAGCCTCTACTGTTTTTAGAAGTTGAACACGGAGGAAATGTGAGATGTTTGAGCGAATTCGATAGACAATCTTAAAATCCTTGTTCGGATCAGCTGAAAGGTTGGAATCGATTATATGCTCAAGGATAGAACTTCTGATGCATTTCTTTTGATCCTTATAAAACTAGGCCGGAATATGTTTTCATATGCATATTGACATCAATCTCTGACTACAGTCGATGTACCTTGCTCCATAGTAGCGAGTGAACTGGTAGATACATATGTGTGTACATATATACAGCTTGAGAATAGATTCATTGAAAAGAGTCCTCTCTTCGTTGAATATCTTGTTTTTGACATTCATAATGCGCAATTAAATCACTGAATACATCTTTACTTCTACTGACTGCTATGTAGATTTTGTATCGTTTGTCTGCTATAATCAAGATAAAACTATGAAGATGAATAAATGAACCTTATGGTGAACAATGTTGTACTAACTGCGGATACATAGATGCCTGGAAACAATCGTTATTCCATGAAACTGAAAAGTTTTTCAAAGTTGTTTTTATCTACATATCAGATTAGTTTATTTGATTTATAACATATAGTCAGTGAAACAGTATTATTTACTTGATGTGCTGATATGAGGTGTGGCAACTC